CCTATACTGGACAACTTGTTACAGATGTTGATAAGTCATTGATAATAATCTGCCAATTTTTTTCATGTCATTACATGAAGATATAAGGGGGGGGGGGGGTCATGCACTACATGGCCATGCTCGTCGAACATCTCATTCCAAAATCATGGGCATTAATATGGAGTTGGTCCCCCCTTTGCTGCTATAACAGCCTCCACTCTTCTGGGAAGGCTTTCCACTAGATGTTGGAACATTGCTGTGGGGACTTGCTTCCATTCAGCCAGAAGAGCATTAGTGAGGTCGGGCATTGATGTTGGGCGATTAGGCCTGGCTCGCAGTCAGCGTTCCAATTCATCCTAAAGGTGTTTCGATGGGGTTGAGATCAGAGTTCTGTGCAGGCCAGTCAAGTTCTTCCACACCGATCTTGACAAACCATTTCTGTATGGCCCTCACTTTGTGCACGGGGGCATTGTCAAGCTGAAACAGGAAAGGGCCTCCCCCAAACTGTTGCCACAAAGTTGGAAGCACAGAATAGTCTAGAATGTCATTGTATCCTGTAGCGTTAAGATTTCCATTCACTGGAACTAAGGGGCCTAGCCCGAACCATGAGAAACAGCCCCAGACCATTATTCCTCCTCCACTCAACTTTACAGTTGGCACTATGCATTTGGGCAGGTAGCGTCCTCCAGGCATCCGTCAAACCCAGATTCGTCTGTCGGACTGCCAGATGGTGAAGCGTGATTGATCACTCCAGAGAGTGAATTTCCACTGCTCCAGAGTCCAATGGCAGTGAGCTTTACACCACTCCAGCCATAGCTTGGCATTGCGCATGGTGCTTTTAGGCTTGTGTGCGGCTGCTCGGCCATGGAAAACCATTTAATGAAGCTCCCAACGAACAGTTATTGTACTGATATTGCTTCCAGAGGCAGTTTGGAACTCGGTAGTGAGTGTTGCAACCGGGGACAGATGATTTTTACGCGCTACGCGCCGCGCCGTTCTGTAAACTTGTGTGGCCTACCACTTTGCGGCTGAGCCGTTGTTGCTCCTAGACGTTTCCACTTCACAATAACAGCACTTACAGTTGACCGGGGCAGCTCTAGCAGGGCAGAAATTTTACAAACTGACTTGTTGGAAAGGTGGCATCCTATGACAGTGCCACGTTGAAAGTCACTGAGCTCTTCAGTACGGGCCATTCTACTGACAATGTTTGTCTATGGAGATTGCATGACTGTGTGCTTCATTTTATACACCTGTCAGCAACAGGTGTGGCTGAAATAGCCGAATCCACTAATTTGAAGGGGTGTCCACATACTTGTAGCCATGTAGTATATCTACAGTGCAATCTGAAAGTATTCAGACCCCTTCACATTTACGTTACAGCCTTATTCTAAAATTGATTAAATATTGTACTTTTTCCTCATCAATCTACACACAATACCCCATAATGACAAAGCAAAAACAGGTTATTATACATTTTTGCAAATTTATAAAAAAAAACTGAAATATCACATTTACATAAGTATTCAGACCCTTTACTCAGTATTTTGTTGAAGCACCTTTGGCAGCGATTACAGCCTCTAGTCTTCTTGGGTATGACGCTACAAGCTTGACACACCTGTATTTGGGGAGTTTCTCCCATTCTTCTCTGCAGATCCTCTCAAGCTCTGTCAGGTTGGATGGGGAGCGCTGCTGCACAGCTATTTTCAGGTCTCTCCAGAGATGTTCGTTCGGGTTCAAGTCTGGGCTCTGGCTGGACTTGAACCTTGAACTGCGTTGTCTTGGCTGTGTGCTTAGGGTCGTTGTCCTGTTGGAAGGTGAACCTCCGCCCCAGTCTGAGGTCCTGAGTGCTCTGGTGATGAGTGGTAACTGGTTTCCTCCAGACGTGACGCTTGGCATTCAGGCCAAAGAGTTCAATCTTGGTTTAATCACACCAGAGAATCTTGTTTCTCATGGTCTGAGAGTCCTTTGGGTGCCTTTTGGCAAACTCCAAGCGGGCTGTCATGTGCCTTTTACTGAGAAGTGGCTTCAGTCTGGCCACTCTACCATAAAGGCCTGATTGGTGGAGTGCTGTAGAGATGGTTGTCCTTCAGGAAGGTTCTCCCATCTCCACAGAGGAACTCTGGAGCGCTGTCAGAGTGACCATCGGGTTCTTGGTCACCTCCCTGACCATGGCCCTTCTCCCCCGATTGCTCAGTTTGGCCGGGCGTCCAGCTCTAGGAAGAGTCTTGGTGGTTCCAAACTTCTTCCGTTTAAGAATGATGGAGGCCACTGTGTTTTTGGGGACCTTCAATGCAGCAGACATTTTTTGGTACCCTTCCCCAGATCTGGGCCTCGACACAATCCTGTTTCGGAGCTCTACGGACAATTCCTTCAACCTCATGGCTTGGTTTTTGCTCTGACATGCTCTGACAACTGTGGGACCTTATATAGACAGGTGTGTGCCTTTCCAAATCATGTCCAATTAATTGAATTTACCTCAGGTGGAATCCAATCAAGTTGTCGAAACATCTCAAGGATTATCAGTGGAAACAGGATGCACCTGAGCTCAATTTCGAGTCTTATAACAAAGGGTCTGAATAGGTATGTAAACAAGGTATTTCTGTTTTTTATTTTTAATACATTTGCAAACATTTCTAAAAACCTGTTTTCACTTTGACATTATGGGCTATTGTGTGTAGATTGATGAGATTATTAAAAAAAAAAATCAATTTTAGAATAAGGCTGTAATGTAACAAAATGTGGAAAAAGTGAAGGGGTCTGAATACTTTCCGAATGCACTTTATATTCAATACAATTCACGAGTTGTAAAACCTCATGTTTAACCCTTTATCATGGTTGGTCTCTTGACTGATTTGTCCAAAATCGTGTTACATAAAACATTACTTTTCTGTCCATACATTTATGGCAGTGTACGTTGTCATTATATCATATATTAAGCATTACTCTGTTAAATTAGACATTGAACTTGAACCATGTAAGAATCCTGGGTCTAGCTAGCAGACAGTTTTTTTGAATAGATATCTCAGAAATGCAGTGTAACTATGTAACATTTTGTGTCTCCTTTTGTTACATGGTGAAAACAGTTTTAATGGGCACACAAATCCAAAATAATAAATGCCATTGAAAAATCGAATGCTTCTAACCGAGTCACCTTACCTGCATACTTAAAACCTAAATTGATACTGTCGTTAACGTGGTTCTTCAATAATTATGCATAATACTTGTTGGATTCGGATTTGGTGTCGAGCTGTTTAATTACGTTGTGATAAATTCACACATTACCATCTGATACAGAAAGGAATTTTCGAATGACTGCCAAGTGATGAACAGCTGTTCTGATAGCGCATGCAATGCAACAACAGCCCAAGTACTGGAAAAAAGGTGTTTGAGATTAATGTCCAGAATACTTTGGTGTCTCATTCCTTAGGCTGGTGGAGACAGTTGTGCCTGGATCCCCGTTGGATCTGATATCACTAGCGACATGACGTTGATACTATGTTGTTGTCTGGTTGATTTACAGCAGGGTGTCGTTAGATTTAACAGAGAAAGCAGCAAGGCAATGAGTTCATATTTTAATATGTTTTTGGGCCTCGGATTGGACACGGAGTCTAGCTGTGCGAAATTGTGTAGGATAGACTATTGCGCAACACCCAACGCTCTTAATTATTCTGGATATAATGACAACAAATTACATAGCCTAGTGGGTTTATTCACAATATGATCTGTCAACTAAATAACATGACAAATACATGTTGTTTTCCATGTTACACCTGTAATTTTAAACAACAAGGGGCTTGAAGTAGCCCACTTGAACATGAATTTGGAGCTCAGAAATTGAAGTACTAGAATATGCCTACCTTGAGTTGTAAATCAGACATTTCGTAAATTTGGTGCTTGAAAAGTCCCGCGGCTGCAATTGAAGGGTGTTGCGCAACTGTGTTGCTGTAAAACCACGTGCGGTTGTTATGAGGACGACAACATCTAATGTTGGCTTCGACTTGGCTTTCCATACAAATCCTTACATTAAAAAGGAACCTTGTTTTTGTTGACTTTCTCATTAGAAAACCAGCTATGGTGGGATTAATTCTACCACTATTCATGGCTTAATTATGTGTACCTGCGTCGACCACATATGCTACAGAAAAATAGCCATGCATGCATCCAATCTATTTAGTCAGGCAACGTCCACATTATTCTCACATATTTTAGAATGTAATAATAATTAGAATATCAAGGCCTAAATAATTAATTATTCTTAAAGTGATAATGACCTACTTTTTCCATTTGCACTTTTTGCATGCTTTTTGGGGGGAGGGGGATTCTATATTAGGCCCTGTATGTACAATTATATAAATTATACAATTGTATAACATTGTTGAGGTCCTTGACAATGACAAAAGTCCTTGAAACTCCCTGAATTTGACTAGCCAATGTCTGTATGAACCCTGCTTAAAGGATGTATAGTCCTAGGCCTATGCTGTTGTATAGGTGGAGTTATGGGCCAATTTGCATATATTCACTTTTATTCCTCTAAGTACATATCTGGAATTGCAAAAAAATCATTTATATTTTAGTTTCAAAACATTTAGAAATGTTTATCCCAATGTCACACTGGCCTCATTATTTATAGAAAGCCCCACATACATTTTCAACAGAAAGTAGAGTTGTGCGCATGCGTGTGCATCTTTGTGTAATGTGTGAGTGTGTGTGTGTGTGTCTGCTTGGTCACGGTGGTTGAGCACTCTGATTAATGATTACAGAGAGACAACAGATGGGGGAGAGAGGGGAGATATGAGGGGAGAGAGGATATAGATGGTGGAGGACAGGGAGTTGGAGAGAGATATGAGGAGTGGGAGAGAGGGAGAAACAGAATCAGAGCGAGACAGAGAGAGAGAGAGAGAGAGAGAGAGAGAGAGAGAGAGAGAGAGAGAGAGAGAGAGAGAGAGAGAGAGAGAGAGAGAGAGAGAGAGACAGAAAGCTGGAAAGAGAAAGTAATGTAAATCCATCCTAACCCTGTGATAATGCTGTGGTTGTGTTGTGGCAGTGTTTTAACCATGAGGTTGTGTTGTGGCAGTGTTTTAACAATGTGGTTGTGTTTTGGCAGTGTTTTAACCATGTTGTTGTGTTGCGGTCTAGGTTCCACCATGACTACAGGGTTGCGGTCAGTATAAATGACTACCTGGACATCTACTGTCCATTCTACACCAACGGCCCCCCGGCTCACGGTCGAATGGAACGCTATATCCTGTTCATGGTCAACCACGAGGGGTACACTTCCTGTCAACACAGGATGAGGGGGTTCAAACGCTGGGAGTGCAACCGTCCTACCGGTCATGACGGACCCCTGCGCTTCTCAGAAAAGTTCCAGCTGTTTACGCCTTTCTCCCTGGGCTTTGAGTTCAGGCCGGGGCACGAATACTACTATATCTGTGAGTAATATCTCACACCACTACAATATAACTAATATGTGACTAAAATATTGTACTACTACAGTACTACCACTATAATTGTGATTAATATCTTGAACTACTACAGTACTACCACTATAAATGTGAGAAATATGTCTTACTACTGCAGTACAACAACAACATATTATGGGGTGAATCGTAACTTCCATTTAAGTCGAATTTGACATGAATGCATGACTAAGTACAATTTTTGACTTCAATATAAGTTAGGATTTACTCCTCCTACTACTACAGTACAACTACTAGTATATGTATTACTACTGCCATGAGGAGAGAGAGAAGAGGAGGAATGAGAGAAATGTAGTGGGAGGGAGGGCAGATGAAGGGTCATGGTTATTTCCTCTGAGCAGCAGATTTTTATGATGTTGCTCTGAGGTCAGACTTGGCTCTTCTTATCCTCTCACTGTGTGTGTGTGTGTGTGTGTGTGTGTGTGTATGCGTTTGTGTGTGTCTCCCTTTCAATCTCATGGACACCAGATGTAGTGGGATCACCCAGGTCTAACCTGGACCCCATTCACAGTGGCGTAACAGACATAGCAAACTACAAACTCTCTCCATCTCATTTTATTTCCCTCCCTCTTTCTCCCTTGTCAGCGTCTCCTCATCCCAACCATGTAGGGAGGCCGTGTCTGAGGCTGAAGGTGTATGTCAGACCCCCGGGTAAGTCACGCTCTAACTACACACACACACACACACACACACACACACACACACACACACACACACACACACACACACACACACACACACACACACACACACACACATACACACACACACACACAGAGAGAAGACAGAGGAGAGTAGAAAGACAGACAGAAATCCTCTCCTTTAAGTTAAGTTCCTAATAGAGACATGACTACTCTCCTTTACATTTTGTTCCTAATAGAGACATGACTACTCTCCTTTACATTTTGTTCCTAATAGAGACATGACTCCTCTCCTTTAAATGTAGTTCCTAATAGAGACATCACTCCTCTTCTTTAAATGTAGTTCCTAATAGAGACATGACTCCTCTCCTTTAAATGTAGTTCCTAATAGAGACATGACTCCTCTTCTTTAAATGTAGTTCCTAATAGAGACATGATTCCTCTCCTCTGTAATTACCAGTTTTTTCTGACTCTGACATAGAAACCTCATCTTCTTCTAAAGACTTTCTACAATTAGCACTGTGACTGAGTGTGGGTGTGTGGGGGTGTGTGTGTGTGTGTGTGTGTGTGTGTAACTGTATTAAACTGTAATTAGGTTGCTTTAACCCCCTGCTGAGGTCTTGGCGACATTCGTCTCCTCTCTCTCTTTCTCATCTTACACTCTTTCTCCCATTCTCTTTCTCTCTTACTGGGTCTGTAACTCCAACACTTTCTTCTTGTTATTCCTGTGTTATTTTCTGTCTATTTTAGTCATTTTCTCTCCATTCTGTTGTTCTCTCTCTCCAATCAGTTGGTTGTTTAGTTTCCTTTCTCTCTACTTTCAAATGCTTCTACCATTTTATCTCTGCTTTCAGATCGTTCTGTCCACTTTCTCTCTGTTCTATTCTGTCCTATCTCTCCTTTCAGATGTTTTCTGTCCTCTCTCTCCCTGTCCGTTCTGTCGTTTTCTTTCTCTCTGTCGGTTCAGACTTCAATGTTTTCGCTCTCTGTTGAGTCATGCTGTCATTCTCTCTCTGTTCCAGGCAGTTCAGGGTTTGAATCTCCAGAGCCCTTTCTGACTGATGGAGGTCCAGACTGGGTCCCAGAGTCCCTGCTAGCCCCAGCCCTACTACCCAGCCTAGCCTCACTGCTACTGGGCTTCCTCTCATCGCTGTGACCCCCCCTTCCCCTAGAGCAACACCTAGACCAGAGTCTTTGCTAGAAGACTGCCTGTAGGACTGCCTGGCTGACTGTCCCTCAAACCCCCACACGCTCAGGGAGAAACTCTCTTTCAGTCCTGGATTAAAAACCACTGTGGGTCCCCAGGACAAGCATTTACAGCCCCTGGGCTAATTCATGGATGAAGAGCCCCTGGTCTAAACTTAACCCTAACCCCCCTGGGGGGTCTGAAGGGACATGGCTGGGGGGTGGGGGTCGTTGGCTGGACACACATATGCATGACCACTGTGAATCTGGACTGAACTGACTAAACTGATGGTGTTTCTGTTATGCTTACATGATCACATATCATTTAACTGAATATGGTTCTACAGATGATGTCATGGTTATATTTGCAATGGCAGTTAATTAGACTTCCAAAGTGCAGATCTGACACTAAGAAGCCTTCTGATGGACAGAGAAACCATTTATATTTACTGCTGCAACCCCCAGCCCACAGAGGGAAGAGGAGAAGAGGAGAAGGGGGAGAGGGAAACATGCAGTGTGAGAGAGAGAAATAAACAAAGAGAAGGAGAGAGAAAGAAAGAGTGTCTGGTGACCGAGACTTCTTTAATGTCGGGAAGGGAACATAATGAGAAAGCACTGTGATCACACACACACACACACACACACACACACACACACACACACACACACACACACACACACACAACAAACAAACAAGAACACTGACATGTTTCTACTCTGTTTCATCTTATTTTTGTTCCGTTTAAAAGCACCATCAATTATTCATATGTAGAGAGAGAGAGAGAGTAGAGAGAGAGAGCGAGAGAGTGAGAGAGCGAGAGAGAGAGATGATGATATTCTGTTCTTCTGATTTTGCGTGTTTTAGTGTGCATTATCTGCCGGTAGTTGGTTCTATCATGTACAGCATTTACGCTAAGGCAATCCCTGCCATGGTTTAATGTATAAAAGGTTTCCTTCATGTCTCAATCTCATCAGTTTGTCTCCTGTTCTGTTCTGTTGTTTTTGTCAAGATGATGAGAGACAGGAGAAAAACACACCAATAAAGATTGTTTTGTCTACAAAGTGACTGACAGTGATTATTGTCTTCTACAGTGAGGCAGGAATAGTTGCTATTTCTGAGTTGGTTGACACCATTGCCCTCTGCTGGCCAGTGAGTGTCACAGTTGTTTTCTAAATTCAGGGGGAAACCCAAGTTATTTGTAATTGGGAGGGAAAGGGAGTTTTCTGTAAAAACATGTTTTTGTTTAATGGCTTTCCAATTCATTACTTTCACTGAAAAAAACAAAGAGAAAGAAGAATATAAAATGTAAAATGAACAGCAACAAAACAGTTATGCACAGACCTACACTGTTTACTAGGGCATGGAGTATGTCTTGGTCTGGGAAAACTCCTAGCCTTAGGTCATACTACAAAACATACAGTTTTATGAACCTTATGGCACCTCAAGGTGTCTCTTGAGGTCCTGGATCTCTCTCTCCATGTGGTAGATATCATCAGACAGCTGCCTGTGGCCGGACTGGGCCTTCATCAGTTGGCAGTGGAGACGCTTCACGATGGCATCGTACCGTCTGTTCTGGATCTGAGAACAACACACTTTGGGTTTTAAACAGAGATATTTCTTTCCTTTTTGTATATACAGCACTTTGAGCTGCATGTATGAAAGGTGCCATATAAATAGTTATTCTTATTATGAATAGTGTACATGGTGGGTCTTTATCTCCTAACATAAACTGTCTGGAGTCAGTTATTTTCTGTTGGATGAGAAGGAAAAATGGGGTGACTGAGCGTCAGACAATAGGGATTCACTACCGTACCTCGATATGCTTCTTGATCAGTGTGTGACTCTCAAACTCCTTCAGGATCAGCTCTCTTCTCTCAGTCACCATCTTCCTCCGGGCTGAGATCTGCCCCCTCAGGTCATCCATCTCTTTCTGTCAAGAGATCGCAGTTTTATTATTGATTCACGACAACGACTTGCGGAACGGTTGAAGTGGATAAGACAGGGATCACTGGACCAAATTAAAGTAAAAAAAATAAAAAATCCCATATGACTGTAATCTGTCAACTTCTACCCTGGTTCCTCAGCTGCTCTGACCTGTGCCTGCTTCACAGCATTCCCCTCTGGGTTCTCCAGGTCAGCCCTCAGCTCTTCTCTCCTCTCTGTGAGCACTCTGACCAGAGCCCTCTTCTCCACTAGCTCCCTGTGAGCCCTCGTCTGGCTCTCCGCTTGCAAGACGGCTGCCCGGTGGCCCTCCATCTTGTTCCGGTAGGTGTTGTAACCGGCCAGCATGCAGCGGGAGTTGTCCTCCTCTTCCTCAATCAGCAGTCGGAGCTCTGTGTTTTCGTTGTAGGCGGTGATGGAACGCAAGCCCAGGTCTTGCATGTGTCGCTGCAGGTGTTCCATCTCACCCTCCAGGATGAGAATCTGCCTCACTTTGGATTTTAACTCCACTTCAGCTTCTTTGCCTTTCTTCTCAATGTCTGATAGTATGGCCTGGTAGCAGATGCAAACAAAAAATGGTTTATGGAGTTTTTACATTTTACTGGTCAGTGTGTTAGCAGGTAAGGAGAGATTCACCTGGAGAGAGCTGAGCACTTGTTGTTTCTCCTGGAGGGCCACAATCTGGGCATATCCTTGTTGAGAGACATCTTCTAAAGCTTGAGTTAGTGAGAAGTCAGGCCCTCCGTGTGTCTCTGCAGCAATAAATGGAAGGGGGGCTGTCACATCTGAAGAAAGACACATAAGGTGGTTTGTTATTAGCTAAACTAGCTAGCTATCTGCATTAGCTTGTTGTAGCCTCCTAGACTAACTTTAGCTCTTTAGCAGCTCGACCCCCAACAACTTTAGCCCTACTTTGCTGCTGTTTTAGCAAAGCATCCCGAGAGAATACAGGTAGTCCAACATTTTATAAGGAATTTGCTATATGTTTTTTTTTACCATATTCCATCGTCAGCTCAGCAGAGTTGGCCATGTTGACACGTTTGTTGTTGTGCGCGAAAAATAGTTGATTTTCGCGCTCAGCTCAGCACGTGCGCTCTCTTGGCCTGACTGACGCTCATGGGGGTTTCCCGTTGTGATTCCCACAATGCGCCCCATATTGACTGACATCACCTCTAAAACATTTGTCGAGTAAAACAATATACTTATGTTAAGAATTAAACAATTAAAGAAACCACAAGTTCGGACACACCCAAAGAGTTGTATTGAATTGAGAGGCTCATCTTCATTTTTCCAGATATTGGAGAAACGTTCATTTGTGCCCTTTCCACTCAAAATGTAGGGAAAATAAATAGTGATTGTTATTAAAAATCCAATGGTCAGTGAAGTAAACTAAAGGAAATGTAGGACCTAGTTTTCTTATTAATTTATTTATTTTACAATGGATTGTCAGATGTCTGGATTTGATTCTATTCATTATTTTTATGTGATAAATGACAGGGACTGGTTACTACGGTTTCTGGTGCTATGATACAGTATAAATGTCAGTTATGTGTATTTACATGTTTCTTTGATCCCTGGGTGAGGCCATAGCCACAAGTGGTGTTTTATGTTTAGCGAATAAAGTAGGGACCATTCTCTCTCTCTCTCTCTCTCTCTCTCTCTCTCTCTCTCTCTCTCTCTCTCTCTCTCTCTCTCTCTCTCTCTCTATCCATGGGTGGGTATTACCATTATACATCTAATTTATGATATGAAAAGACAGCAGTTATGGAGAGAATGTGTCTGTAGGCTATTTGATTGCACACAGCAGCCCTCCAGGATATATACTCAGTCACTCATTTCGTTTCCTTACTAAAACCAGAATATAGGAAGGATATAAGTCAGTTCTGATACACCCCCATTACGCTTCCACGCACACTTCCTGTAAGTGTGTGTGCATGTGTGTGTCAAGTGCTTTCAGTTTTTGTGTAGCCTACTGGAAATGTATTGCGACCACCCAGATGAACAAAACAATGTTTCATTCCCAGGCCCATGAAAATCAAATTAAATCAAATTGTATGAATAATGGTCAGATTTGCCAAATGGAGGGCGTGGGAGAGCTTTGTACGTCTCTGTGTGTGGAGTAAAGGTGGTCTAGAGTTTTTTTTCCTCTGGTTGCATATTTAACATGCTGGTAGAAATGAGGTAAAACGGATTTTAGTTTCCCTGCATTAAAGTCCCCGTCCACTAGGAGCGGCGCCTTTGGATGAGCGTTTTCCTGTTTGCTTATGGCCTTATACAGCTCATTGAGTGCGGTCTTAGTGCCAGCATTGGTTTGTGGTGGTAAATAGACAGCTACGAAAAATAAATAATGTGATCTACAGCTTATCATGAGATTCTCAACCTCAGGAAAGCAAAACCTTGAGACTTCCTTAATATGCAGCCTATAAAGCCATGACCCAGTAGGATTTGGCTGTGATGGGCTGCCTGGGCTGAAGGCTGCCTCACCATTTGGGAAACATTAGCGATAGATTTTAATTACTAGCACAGGACCTGATAGTAATTTCTGCTGGTGGATGTAAATATTTGATTTGTTGTTTTGGTTTGTTTGCACACTGAAAATAGCAAATTGTTTGAATGTGATGTCCCCTGTAGCTCAGTTGGTAGAGCATGGCGCTTGCAATGCCAGGGTTGTGGGTTTGTTTCCCACAGGGGGCCAGTATGAAAATATATGCACTCACTATTGTAAGTTGCTCTGGATAAGAGCGTCTGCTAAATGACTAAAATGTAAATGACTGTTGCAGTTCCCCAGGTGTGGTTGAATGCTTAGGTATAGGGAAAACACTGGGCTATTATTATTAACATGTTTGCATCCAGATGCTGAAATTCTGAGTAATTAGCTGCTGTGGTTTCTGTGTCTTGTGGCTTTATTGAGACAAGTTTACAGTGTACACAATAGGTGCAGGTGTGTTTACGAAATTACGAAAACAAAACAGCTGTGTGGCAGTGAACATCATGATCATATAGGCTATTGCTCCATTACATCCTATGGACTTTTTATGCATTTGAATTTCTCATGTGTGTTTGATTAAATAGAGCCCTCCTCCGTCAGTCTCAGTCTCAGTCCCATAGACACAACAGGATAAGCTGTATGTATGACTCAACAGGGTGCTCTCCCTCCCTCCCTCCATCTGTGACTCAATATAACCACAACTATTTCCTGTCTGGTTCCCTGACATTGTCTCTCATTCTCTGAGTTTCATCAGCACTAAAACATGTGTGCCAAAGAACCGGTTTTGACCAGGTGTTCCTGTTTTCACCCTAGTCTGCATTGTGTCAACACAACAACAAAACATGGACTAAAAGTATGTGTTGCTATTATTTTGTCCACTCCATCCTTCCTCAAAATAGGAAGAGAGACAATGAAGAGGGGATGGATGGAGATAGAACGTAGCTATGTTTAAATACCATGAACTAGAACAGGGGTAGTTGGCTATGGGTGCTCAACTACATTAATCCCCTATTATTCATCTCACCTGCTGTTATTTGGGCTACCTGTGTTTTGAGGTGAACCTAATACTGATACTGAGGCTTGAAAATTGGATTTGAAGCACAGGAGGTTGGTGGCACCTTAATTGGGGAGGACAAGATTGTGGTAATGGCTTGGGCGGAATAGGTGGAATGGTATCAAATACATCAAACACATGGTTTCCATGTGTTTGATGCCATTCCATTTGCTCCGTTCCAGCCATTATTATGAGCCGTCCTCCCACTCGGCAGCCTCTACTGATTTGAAGTATAGTAATTTGAGTGCTTGCGTCAGCAGTTTTACAATTTAAACCTTTATTGAAAGCCGAGCTGATTCGTGTGCTATTGTTGCCCATTTTCTGAAAGGCTATAGAATGGTGCCAGCTACTGTATATGCCAGACTGAAAACAAATGAAACAGTCTTGTTTCAGTAGACGACTTTAATGCTCTCTAAACAGTGCAACTGTAGAGCTGAGATGGTGTGGTTATGTGGCGTTAATGCATGTTTTGACATGGAAATGACATAGGAGTGAATAAATATTTCAAGGGAAACATGGTGTGTGTGTGTTGAATTGTGCTCTAATCCAAGCATGGACGGATCGATGCCTCACTTTGCAAATGGTTTTCATGTGAAGAAGGCAAACTGAGCACAGTAATGACGTTAGACGTCAACAAAAGAGTATCTCATTTCATTTTAAATCAGAAACATGAGACGGGGTGGGGGAAGGGATCAGTGAAATCAGAGAATGAGTAAGGAGCATAGGGGGCCTCTAAATGTGCATGACACAGCACTCCCAGCATGCAACACTAATATAACTGGAGTTATTCCCTCCTAACCACAGACAGCACATAAAATCGAGGCGCCCTGCGCTCGCATGCCTGAGAGAGTGTCAAGTTTCCAGAGATCTGCTGAGGTAAACAGTCTCAGGGTGAAACGTAATGGTCTAATGGTATCCCTGTTTTCCTATTAGATGGGTTGAAGCATGACGATATTGGTGATAATAACAGAGAATTTAGAATCTCTCTCCGGTATTATTCCAATTGTATACGGCTTTATTGTAATGTTCTATAAACACACACAAAACTGAACACAGAATTGAATACGAGAGACATCTAAAAGCTTCTTAATGAGCAGTCACTGAGACATGATCACAAAAAATACATAAATATTGAAAACTGCATAAAACTAAATTAAAAGTGAGCCAAATTCAGTTTGTTTTTGCAGTATAAAAATACAAAAATAAATTCCACATGCAGACAGTCCAGCTATCTAACAGATATGAATTCCACCTCATCTACAGCCCTGAGCTGGGAATGGGATTAAAGAGATATCAGTTACTAATTAGTCAATGAAGTGCCCTGGGTCTCCTTCCTCAGTCATCAGCTGCTGATTCTGAAGGCCCCGAAGTAGCTTCCCTCAGCTTCCGGGTCCAGCAGCCAGGAGTTGGACACGCTGACGTAGATACCGTCCCCGGGCCTCAGGGGGAAAGCCCCTCCCTGCTGCTGGCAACACATGTGGTAGTGGCCCCTCTGCCAGCGCCTGGTGCTGCCGCTTTTCATCAACACAGCTGGCCTGAGGGGGGCACTGTGACTGTGACGCTCGTGGAACACGTATTGTATAAGAAGGGCACCAGCCCCGGCCCAGCCCCAGCACCAGCCCCAGCCCCAGCCCCAGCTCCATCTTCTCTGTGAATGCCAGACTCTGCTGAAACCCCTCTTCTCCCTGGAGCATGAGACTCAGACTCCATCAGCGACTCCTCTACCTGGTCGTAGTACCTGAAGCAGGTTTTGGCGTAGATGTAGTACAGGCCTCCCTCGCGGACCAGGATCCTGCCGTCATGGTACCCGATCTTGGACAGGTGTCCCTGGGTGTGGTCCCAGTGGATCATGGTGGTGGTCTGGATGTCTCTCTGGATGTGCCCACTGGGTGGCTGAATGGGCAGGTGGGCTGATGGTGTGACCTCCCTGGGTGTTTTTGGGCACCTCTGTGACTCCCCTCTCTGGAGGTTGTCCGAAGTCTCAACTAGGGCTGGTCCGGCCTGGGTGACCTGAAGTTGCCAACGGAGACAGCGGCAAGAGAGTTTAGAGGTCACAGTAGCCCAAATCCCTCATTGGGCATCGATACACTGCTGTTAGAAGCTTTTATTGAGTTATTGACCACTTTAACCTTTTACTGCAGTAGGCTAAATCAGGGTCACACAGAGTATTTCTTGGTAGTCGTAAACAAATCTACTTTGAAACAAAAGTATACACCTCACACACATGATTATGGGCTTAAAAAAAGAAGACACATCATGTCAGATATAGAGTTGAAATGTATTACATTTTGAGTTTGCATCCCAATATTACCCTTTATATACAGTACCAGTCAAATGTTTGGACACACCTACTCATTCAAGGGTTTTTCTTTATTTTTACTATTTTCTACATTGTAGAATAATGGTGAAGACATCAGAACTATGAAATAACACAAATGGAATCATGTAGTAACCAAAAAATAGTTAAACAAATCAAAATATATTTTACATTTTAAATTCTTCAAAGTAGCCACCCTTTGCCTTGATGACAGCTTTGCACACTCTTGGCAATCTCTCAACCAGCTTCACCTGGAATGCTTTTCCAACAGTCTTGAAGGAGTTCCCACATATGCTGAGCACTTGTTGGCTGCTTTTCCTTCACTCTGCGGTCCAACTCATCCCAAACCATCTCAATTGGGTTGAGGTCAGGTGATTGGGGAGGCCAGGTCATCTGATGCAGCACTCCATCACTCTCCTTCTTGGTTAAATAGCCCTTACATAGCCTGGAGGTGTGTTGGGTCATTGTCCTGTTGAAAAACAAATGATGGGATGGCGTATCGCTTCAGAATGCTGTGGTATCCATGTTGGTTAAGTGTGCCTTGAATTCTAAATAAATCACATACAGTGTCACCAGCAAAGCACCCCCACACCATCACACCTCCTCCTCCATGCTTCACGGTGGGAACTACACATGCGGAGATCATCCGTTCACCTACTCTGCGTCTCACAAAGACACGGCGGTTGGAACCAAAAATCTCAAATTTGGATTCATCAGACCAAAGGACAGATTTCCACCGGTCTAATGTCCACTGCTTGTGTTTCTTGGCCCAAGCAAGTCTCTTCTTCTTATTGGTGTCCTTTAGTAGTGGTTTCTTTGCAGCAATTCGACCATGAAGGCCTGATTCACGCAGTCCCCTCTGAACAGTTGATGTTGAGATGTGTCTGTGACTTGAACTCTGTGAAGCATTTATTTGTGCTGCAATCTGAGGTGCAGTTAACTCTAATGAATTTATCCTCTGCAGCAGAGGTAACTCTGGGTCTTCCATTCCTGTGGTGGTCCTCATGAGAGCCAGTTTCATCATAGCGCTTGATGGTTTTTGCGACTGCACTTGAAGAAACTTTCAAAGTTCTTGAAATGTTCCCGGATTGACTGACCTTCATGTCTTAAAGTAATGATGGACTGTCGTTTCTCTTTGCTTATTTGAGCTGTTCTTGCCATAATATGGACTTGGTCTTTTAACAAATAGGGATATCTTCTGTATACCACCCCTACCTTGTCACAACACAACTGATTGGCTCAAACGCATTAAGGAAATAAATTCCACAAATGAACTTTTAAGAAGGCACACCTGTTAATTGAAATGCATTCCAGGTGACTACCTCATGAAGCTGGTTGAGAGAATGCCAAGAGTGTGCAAAGCTGTCATCAAGGCAAAGGGTGGTTACTTTGAAGAATCTAAAATGTAAAAATATTTTGATTTGTTTAACACTTTTTTGGTTACTACATGATTCCATATGTGTTATTTCATAGTTTTGATGTCTTCACTATTATTCTACAATGTAGAAAATAGTAAAAATAAAGAAAAACCCTTGAATGAGTAGGTGTGTCCAAACTTTCGACTGGTACTGTACATGACAGAAGACTGAAATATAACAAAACCGTTTGACATAGAAACACCGGATTTTCGGCGGGTTTCTGAAATAATGTTTATTAATTATGAAATTATAAAAAATATTAATAACATTCCACCCATTAGGCCACTAGGTCATTTGACTGCAGGAAAGGGGTCTACTAATGTTTACATACTGTTATACCTACTTTATATGTACAGTATATACTATATTGTAGTCATGGCTCATCCTATATAACTACCTCTGTACACACCTTTTCTATTCATATACAGTGCATTCGGAAAGTATTCAGACCCCTTGACTTTTTCCACATTTTGTTCGTTTGCAGCCTTATTCTAAAAGTTATTAAATTGTTTTTTCCCCTCATCAATCTACACACAATACCCCATAATGACAAAGCAAAAACAGATGTTTTTTAAATTTTGCTAATTTATAAAAAATAAAAAACTGGAATATTACATTTACATAAGTATTCAGACCCTTTACTCAGTACTTTGTTGAAGCACATTTGGCAGCGATTACAGCCTTTGAGTCTTCTTGGGTATGATGCCACAAGCTTGGCACATCTGTACTTGGGGAGTTTCTCCCATTCTTCTCTGCAGATCCTCTCAAGCTCTGTCAGGTTGGATGGGGAGCGTCGCTGCACAGCTATTTTCAGGTCTCTCCAAAGATGTTTGATCGGGTTCAAGTCCGGGCTCTGGCTGGGCCACTCAAGGACATTCAGAGATTTGTCCCGAAGCCACTCCTGCGTTGTCTTGGCTGTGTGCTTAGGGTCGTTGTCCTGTTGGAAGGTGAACCTTCGCCCCAGTCTGAGATCCTGAGCGCTCTGGAGCAGGTTTTCATCAAGGAGCTCTCTGTACTTTGCTCCGTTCATCTCTGCCTCGATCCTGACTAGTTTCCCAGTCCCTGCCGCTGAAAACATCCCCACAGCATGATGCTGCCACCACCATGCTTCACCGTAGGGATGGTGCCAGGTTTCCTCCAGACGTGATGCTTGGCATTCAGGCCAAAGAGTTCAATCTTGGTTTCATCAGACCAGAGAATCTGAGAGTCTTTAGTGACCTTTTGGCAAACTCCAAGTGGGCTGTCATGTGCTTTTTACTGAGGAGTGGCTTCAGTCTGGCCACTCTACCATAAAGGCCTGATTGGTGGAGTGCTGCAGAGATGGTTGTCCTTCTGGAAGGTTTCTACCATCTCCACAGAGGAACTCTGGAGCTCTGTCAGTGACCATCGGGTTCTTGGTCACCTCCCTGACCAATGCCCTTCTCCCCCGATTGCTCAGTTTGGCCGGGCGACCAGCTCTAGGAAGAGTCTTGGTGGTTCCAAACTTCTTCCATTTAAGAATGATGGAGGCCACTGTGTTTTTGGGGACCTGCAATGCTGCAGAAACGTTTTGGTACCCTTCTCCAGATCTGTGCCTCGACACAATCCTGTCTCGGAGCTGTATGGACATTTCCTTCTACCTCATGGCTTGGTTTTTGCTCTGACATGCACTGTCAACTGTGGGGCCTTATATAGACAGGTGTGTGCCTTTCCAAGTCATGTCCAATCAATTGAATTTACCACAGGTGGACTCCAATCAAGTTGTAGAAACATCTCAATGATGATCAATGGAAACAGGATGCACCTCAGCTCAATTTCGAGTCTCATAGCAAAGGGTCTGAATACTTATGTAGATAAGGTATTTCTGTTTTGTATTTTTTATAAATTTGCAACAATTTCTAAAAACCTGTTTTCGCTTTGTCATTATGGGGTATTGTGTGTAGAGGAAAATGTTTTATTTAATCAATTTTAGAGGCTGTAACGTAACAAAATGTGGAAAAGGTCAAGGGGTCTGAATACTTTCCGAATGCACTGTATATATGTATATTTATATTACAGACTCTGACATTGCTCATTCTGATATTTCTTAATTTCTAACTTTTTACTTTTTGGATTATGTGTGTATTGTTTTGTATTGCTAGGTATTACTGCACTGTTGGAGCTAGAAACACAAGCATTTCACTGCACCTGCGATAACATCTGCAAATCTGTGTAAACCAATAGACTTTGATTTGATTTGTTGCGGTCTTGTAATAAATAAGACTACTTTGTAAGCCATAAAATGCAATAGCCAGTAAAACCGTCCAGACAATATGAAACACTTTGCCTCTGTCTGAAGTTTAATGTGTTATAAATGTTGTGGTGAGGGAGCAACCACTTGAAATGGATTACATTTAGTGCAATGTGTATTTGTGGTGATCATTGTGTATAATTCATTTTTTGTCCAATGTTTTCTTGCAGCACATGCAAACTGTTATGATTGCTATAACTTTACTACAATACATTTTTTCTTACTAAATACAACTTTGTGCTATAGACTTACATAGATTTTATGATAATGTGTTTCTATTGTCTACATTAGAGGATACTTTTGGTATAATCCAATCTAAGATTAATAGATTTATGCATTATGATTTGTATTATTATGATTACCTTACCTGTTGAAGATGTCCTGTCATGTGAAGTACAACAGCAACACTTGATACCACTTGAAGTAATCCCATGATAACGACGGTACCAATAAGAGTTCTGTTTGAAGTTGGCTCTGTTCTCCTGAGCTGCTGAAATCTTGGCAGAGTGCTTTCCATTTCATAAAGATCCGTTTATTACTGTACGTTAAATATCCACTGTGTTTCATAAAAACAGACCCAATGTTAGGCTATGTTTTCCCTAAAATGTGTTAGTATTTCAGCGTACTCTCATTACCAATAGAAGTTTTAGGAGGTGGGTTTCTTGGTTTAGTACCCCCTCTTTGAGGACCAATCAGATTACAGATTAATTTAAATAGCTGTTAACACCGCCAGGGGGTGCTGTTGTAAAATACGGGGCAAAAAAACATTATTTATGACTACATATCCCAGCATTCAACATCACTCTTTGACCTTGCTGGAAGCATGATTATCTTCTTCTCTACGATGTTACTAAATATGAGATGATAAACTCATGTAACCAGTTGACACTTATTTCGTATACATTGTAGCCAGATGCTTATGCATAAATGTATTGGAGTGTGCGGCTCGTGCGCACGCCTCATCTCGCCCCGCCACATGCACAACAGAATATGGAAGGAACTAGCAAATCGATCACTCGTATCATCAAGACGTTATTGTAACAATAATTTGGGAGATTTATATCGGAATGAGTCTGTACAACGATATCTTCGGCAGCTTGTGGAAGAGTACAGAGATGTCACCAAGACATTACAACATGTGTTTCTCAACGACTCCGACAGGAAAGAGTTGAACAAGAGACAGGTGGGACTTTCACCAGTGGCCAATGCGTTTCAGAGCGTTGAACATGCCGTGAAAGACCTTGAGGAGGTCGACACTCTGCTTCAGAGTAAGTAAGCTGTGTTCTATTTTGTGTATTTTGTTAATTGCTAACTAGTTAGTGTTTTTTCTGTATCTTGTATTCATAAGTGTCTGTAATGCCTGCTGTGCCGCAACTGACCAGAAGGGGTCGCCCATGCTTCAATAACAATGTGCTAACTGTGAAATATGTGTCATGGATCTGAAAATGTTATACATTTACATCCATATTCTATTTTTACAGGTACAGTCGGTTCCAAAGAGGAAGACCAACACATGGTCCAGTTACTGAAAGAGGAACAAGCACAGATCACCCAAAAAATCGAGTCACTGAGAAAAGATGTAAGAACAGACATTAGACACAGAACATTTTAAATGTCTGCCTTAGTCAGTCTGGAACTAAATGAGAAAATCTGAATTCATATTTCCCCAGTTGATCCAGGCACTAGTACCCAGTGACCCACACGACACCAGTAATGTCCTTCTGGAGGTGGTAACAGGGCGGACAACAGGAGGTGAGTCAGTGAATCAGTTCAAGGTAATTACTCAATGAACATCATAGGCCATGGACAATGGCTCTCCATTACACTCCTGGTCCTAATGATAATGTATGTCCCCTCTCTGGTACACATGTTTTCATCCAGGTGACATCTGTCAACAGTTCACCAGAGAGATGTTTGACATGTACCAAGGCCTTGCCAGCTACAAGAACTGGGACTTTGAGGTCTTCAACTACACACCTGCTGAATATGGTATTGCTTCTATTCTGTCTGTCGGTCCTACCGTCCTTCTGTCTGTGTTTTGTGGAATTGTGGGTCACTGGATGAAAGTGTCTGTTTTTATGTATGATTGGTTGGTGTATTTATTGTCTGATTGATTATCACTCAGGTGGGCTGCACCATGCGGCAGTAAGGATAGCGGGGGAGAGTGTGTACCGGCTTCTGAAGCATGAGGGAGGGACACACCGGGTCCAGAGGATCCCCGAGGTGGGCCTGTCCTCCAGGATGCAACGCATTCACACAGGAACCATGACCGTCATCGTCCTGCCACAACCCAACGAGGTACACCTGTCTGTCTGAACCGCCTGTCTATCTGCCTTTCTGTCTATCTGTTAGAATGATAATAGATTGGCATTCTGTTTTGTAGCTGGACATCAGCATTGACCCTAAGGACCTGCGGGTTGATACGTTCAGATCGAGAGGGGCGGGAGGTCAAAGTGTCAACACAACAGACAGTGCTGTCCGAATAGTACACCTGCCAACAGGTAAGAGCTTACAGTTCGGGGAAACAGGAAATGTATTGAAAATTAACTTTAAGAATTTTTATTGAAAACCAATGGTACTTCTCAATTCTTGATTTGGAATTTCAATTGATCTCCTGATATTGACTGAATTGAAATGGAATTACTGACTGACCCATGCTCTCTGACCCTAGGTACGGTGGCAGAGTGTCAGACGAGCCGCTCTCAGCTACAGAATCGTGACACGGCCCTGCACGTGCTGAAGGCCCGCCTCTACCAGAGCATGATGGGCAGAGAGACGGAGCAGAGACTTACGGCACGCAAACAGCAGGTGATCCGCGACACACAGTCCCATCCTAACACTTTACTGTCCCCCTCCTCTCTCCCCCTTCCCCACTCATGTTGCTCCCTCTCCAGGTGGGAACTCGCTCCCAGTCGGAGAGGATTCGCACCTACAACTTCAGCCAGGACCGCGTGACAGACCACCGGACTGGCTACGTGACCAGAGATATCAAGGTGGGCTCCTAACTATGCAAACAAGCAGTCTATAATGGAAGTTGATTTCTTCTGTAATGTGTGTCATGTCATGCTTTACATGTAGTGGTAACAGTTTTGTTCTTTGTGTCTTGTCTATTCTCTTGGCAGGAGTTCATGAGGGGCGGGGAGCCACTGGATGATCTGATCTCAGAGCTGTTGGAACACGGAGAGAAGGAGGCTCTGCTGGAGCTGACCTGCAGTCCGAGACACTGACTCGACAGTGTGACGCCTTCGTTCTGGGAGCTAGCTAACGTGACCCACCGCTGCAGCACTGACAGGAGAACAGTCAGACTGGTGGAGTCAGAGCAGATATGGAAGCAGTGGTGCGAACACTGATCCTGGTTCAGTTTATGTGAAAAGAATGGCGTGTGTGGAGAAAATAGAGAGCAGAGAGAGCCTGGCTGCAGACAACCCAGCTCTTTGACCAGTCTCAAACATATGCAGAATTACACCCTAGCATCTTAATAAAGATATGGAAGCAGTGGTGCGAACACTGATCCTGGTTCAGTTTATGTGAAAATAATTAAAATGAAATTAAAATTAATAAAGACATAAAACGTTACTGGAAATAGTTGCCGATGATCCCTGCTCCTATTGGGTGTGTCAGAGCTATGATTCAGCCCAACACACACGCTCTAATCTCTAGCACCCAGGCTGTCTGGCAGCTGGCCAGTCATGGCATCAGTATCTCTCCTACACAGCCATAGCAATGTGTGTGTATCGGCACCAATGAAGAATTACCTTCGAGGCTACTCAAGCCCCTGTGCAACGTTTATTGTGAAATGTTTGAGTTGCTCTGACGGAAGTCTGCAAAATAAATCTGTGGTAGACTATTGATGACTAAAGGCTGATGGAGGACTAAAGGAAGAAGCATAGAGAGAATGTCCACACCAGCAGAATATTTATTCAAGTGCTCGCATTAAAAAAGTACATAATTTGTACAATATTTCATCAATCATAATGTAGAAAACTTGCTCTGCATGCTCCTTCTCGAATACTCCAACAATGCTGGAGTATGGTTCCGGGCTGGGTTTCCCCAAAGCACCGTAGCACTAGGATCATGTTCATTCCATTGAAAGTAAATGGACAAAAGATGACTTTAGTGCTACGATCCTTTTGGGAAACGCAGCCCTGAGCATTTACTTGTGATGATGTGGAAAATGACAACCACCACCACAATATAAGAACATCACAGCGGTCCTTCACGAGCCATCCATAAATTATCCAGTTAAAAATACATCACAGACGCATAAAAAAATATCTCTGGAAATGATATTGTCCATGTCTGTATGTTGTTCAACTAAAATAAAAAAGCAGGGGGGGGGGGGCTTCAGGCATTGAAAAATGAAATTGTAAAGAGTAAGCTGAAAACACTTCAAGCTAGGACAGCCAAAGCCACTGATCAAGCTTCTTTCAGACGTCTGCTTGTCCTGTGGGGGCTATTGCTCCACCCCAAAAGCTGCGTATATACTGTGAGTTGGATGGGTAAAATTCAACCTGAACAATTATTTATGAAATTATGGCATCTTGGTGATAAATTGGGTTCTCTGTAGCCCTCAAGGACCCGACCTGTGTATCCAGGTATTTATATGACACTGCTAGAATCGTCCCCTTACACAATAACAGTCTCCAACAACATCCCCCAGTTTCTGAAGCCTTGTGTCTGTTTAACAGAGAGTTAATATTTGAGTTAGCCTGGGTATTAGTCATCATCTCCTCGTTGCCTCAGGCTCCTGGAGGATTTCCCGTTCTCTGCTTTCCTCTTCCTGAACGTGGCCCCGGCTCCCGACGCGGGACCGCCCTCGTCCCCCAGAGAGGTGATGATACGCTCCCTAAACTTGGGTTTGGGCTCAGGCGGCAGCTCCGTGGGGGCGGGGGCGCTTGCTGCACCTTCCACCTGGGGCAGCTGCAGGTCCACGTTCTCACTTGAGGGGGGGGGGGGGGGGTTATAGAGCAGACAGGTGAGTTATTAGCTTAGCATTCAGTAAGGCACACAATAACAAGTTGGCTAAAGTAGAGACAGACTAGCACCAGGGTCCTGTTCATCAAGGCGAACCGTAACAAAATGTTGTGGAAATCTAAACAATTGCATAGTTAAATCCAAATGAAGACATTGACAGTATAACAGTCTCTTACTAAGGCTCTTCTTCTTCCTGTATCTGCTCCCAGGCTCCGTAAGGGTTGGTCTTCCTGGTCTTCTTAACAGTAGGCCTCTCTTTCTCCTCAGGCACAGCTGCCGGTGTGTCTTTGGCCCCTTCTCCCTTCCCCCCATCATCATTACCATCATCACCATCTTCATCCTCTCCCTCCTTGTCTGAAGGCGGTGTATTATTTTTCTGAGGAGAGCAAATGATCAATAAAATGATCGTCAGTCACCATGACTCAGATCCTAAACTAATACCTAGTATTGTCTGTGCCCATTCACTACCAATGGGGTTGTTGTATTGAGGACTGAACTGAACCTTGGTGACTTGTTTGGAATCCTCTCCCTCCCCGGCTCCTTTGGCACTGTTTGAGCTGTCCTCCCCAGAGAGGAGTTCTGGCTGGGGGGCAGATGGGTCATCTACCCCTGGGGGGCCCACTGTCTCTCCACTGGGCCCAGACCCAGACTCACCACCGGCAGGGAGATCTGCAGGTCTTTCCCAGCTGGACTCTGTAAGAGAGGGGGAAACATCAAAACTATGTCAAACATAATTATGTCAAACATACATAATTCTTGTCATCAGCGGTCTTTATAGACTGACCTCCAGTCTCTGTGTTGTAGTAGTAGGTAAACCCATCAGGACTGACGGCCTCCATCCAGGCACAACCTAAGGAGATCTACAGAGAAAAAAACAGTGTGTTCACTCCAGGACTTGAAGGATTTACCTCTGTACAGTACACTGACTGTAAACATATCAAATGGGTAACAAAATACAAGAGACTTCCTGGTGAAATGAAAGGTATTATGAAAAATTAAGTAACAAGTTCTGTGTACCTCAGTTTGACCAGGCTGTGGAGAGGGTGGGCTCTTTCCCTGCAACCCATATGGTTTGTCCCACCGAGATTCTGAAAAGACATAAAAACACAATGCTTCAGGAGAAAGGTGAATGGTCCTAGGTGTATGTTCCAAACTCATTTCTTAAAGTCACAGTCTGTGACTTTTAACCTGTCACCTCTGATACCTGGGGAGGTGTTGTGGTCTTCAGCCCACCCAGGGTTTGTACAGACAGTGGTAAGTCAAATTAAAAAACTTTTTTAAGCACTAATATTTATTTTCAAGGATCATCAATTTGTAATAGTTGTTATTATGCAATTGTTTCTATTCGCCACCAGATGGCAGTATATCGCCAAAACCTCAACTAACTTACTATTCATCACTACCTTACAAGTTCTACTCAATGATACGTGTTTCACCACTTATTTACTAAGTGGTAAGTGGTAAGTCAGGACTGATGATGTAATTTGAGTAGTGATGAGCATTTCCTATTCGCATTACTACACAATTTCAGCTTTATGACTGTTTTGTATTTTTATTGGGCATTTGGGAATCTACTACTTAATAGCTACAAAAAAGCGTCTTGCTTCTGACTGGCAGCTTTAGAGTCGCTGGTCGGGAGAAGGGCAGGTGGGCTGTGTGAGGAAAATGGCACGTGAACGGCTGCCGCTTGATAAAGTGGAATATCACCTTGAATGAGGCAAAAAGTCACAATGTAGAACTTGCGCCAGCGCAGGATGCAGCATTGTGTTTTTCCCCCCTCCAGGGCTGATGCTCGCAATGTCAAAGTCTGACCCATTTATTTGCACCTTACACAGTGTAGGTCGGTTGGGTCCAGTGGTGTAGTGGTAAAAAAAGGTGGGTAAACTGTACTGAACAAAAATATAAAACGCAACATGTAAAGTGTTGGTCCCATGTTTCATGAGGTGAAATAAAAGATCCCATACATTTTCCATACGCACAAAAGGCAGGTTTAAATCTATATTTGCCCAGCATTTTAGCTATCGATGTGACGTTTGGTGGAGCCTAATCTGTCGGTTCTGTACCTGCCTGGCTGAGTGGCAGTGTGGGTGGAATGAGAGAGCTCGCCTGGCAACCAGAGCGCGAAACACATGAGGAAATAAAACTCGGTAGTCTGCCTGGAAATGAATTCGTAAGAGAAATACATTTTTCTAATATTTTTAACATTAACATATTTGATCATTTTCTGTTCTCCTCTCATTTTAATTCAAGTACTTTTCAAGTACCAACTTGAGAAAATGTCAGATTTTCAAGGTATTCCAGTACTTGAATTACAAGTACTTTAAGCACCTCAAGCACCTTGTGTGAAGCCTGCCTGCCTACCTCCTGTCATAGAGTTGAAGTAGTATGAGAGTCCTTCGCTTGTCTTTCCCTCCACCCAGTTCTCTGATTCGTTTCGGGGCATCCTCTCCTTTCCAGGCTTTTGCTTCTTTTCTTGTTTTCGAGATTGAGGTGAAGGTTGAGATGGAGAATGAGATGGAACTGGGCTTGGCGTTTGGGCTTTGGTTTGAGATGGGGAATCTAAGCAAACACACAAAATCACATTGATATATTAGCCATTTGAGCAGACACTCTTATCCAGAGTGTGTTCTAACAACTTTTTAAATGCTTAAAGTTTCATTAGTCGTATGTACGGTATACGCATGGTATACATTGTCGAACAAAATGCTTGACAGGTTCCTTCTCGACAATACAACAACAATAAGAAATAATAAAATATAAGAATACAAAAAACTATAAAAACAATGGTAATAAGTTACATTCACTTATTTGATAGTACAAATAAAAACAGACTGGCAAGTTATTAAGTTAGTAAATCAATAAAACATTTCATTAAGTAGTTACCTGATGGTTTTATCCCCAACCTTTTCATATCCTCCTCATATGCTTTCAGTGCAGCCGCCTCCATCGTTGCAAACTCTTTAGACTGACGATCCTCCTGCTTCGCCTTGTCAATGCTCTTCTTTTGCATCTATACAGAGGAGGGGCCGAAGTATCAGCCAAGTCACCAATGAGATGACAGCATGGGGTGAGAGTGCCATATCTGGACCTTATCTCTGCTGAAATACACCACTATGCCAGCCAGGAGGGTTATGCATGCCAAGCTGCGTTTACAACGCATCAATAGTTTCCCTTGCAACAGTGACCCCTGTTGATACCTCTGTGTAATAACGTGTTATCAGCAGACTACATAGAGCCCAGAGAGAAAAGAGTAAGGTCTTGGGTGATTGACAACATTTATGGCATCTGTATTTGTGCCACATCTTATGCAGTATGTTAGCTACAACCCTGACATGGACAGGCACCCATCATTCTATGTTTCACGAGTGAAGGCAAAACACAATGATGACAACTCACCTCAGCAATTTTGGCAGCAACATTTTCTTTGTGATTCTTCCCCCTTTCATGAAACTCAACACTCTGCATGAGAAACAAACAAGCACAGCGGTTAATACACGATACAATCTTGTCCTCAGCCACAACCTCTTGCAGTCATAACATAACAGACTACTCTCTCTTTGACACACATCACCAAGAACAAGTAAGCATTCATTCAATGTTAGCAACATGAGAAGGGCCTAGTCAAAGAGACTGAATAGCTAGCATGATGATCATGCCTGAATGGGTAGCTAGTCAGCTAAGTACACTAACTTCACATACTGGTACAAATTACATGACAATGTACTCAACACTCACAGGTTTATTGTCGGCTATCCAACACTTGCAGTACTGGCAGAATTTCTTTGGCTGGGACTTCCAATATTCCGACCTGAGTAATACAAACAAAATAAACAACTTCATAAACATGTGTTTGAAAGCTGATCAGAATAGAAATTTGGACCGTGAATAAAAAGCAACCATGGTCGTACAAACTGAACTAGCTAGCTAGCTAATGTTAACTTATGAATATATGCAACAATATTTAAATCAAATGTTTTTGGTCATGTTCTACAACAGGTGTAGACTTTACAGTGAAATGCTTATTTACGAGCCCATTCCCAACAGTGCAGAGTTAATAAGTAAGACAAATATTTCCTATATTTAAAAAAGTAAATAATAACAATACAAACCATAGCGAGGCTATATACAAGGAGTAGCTACCAGTAACGAGGCTATATACAAGGAGTAGCTACCAGTAACGAGGCTATATACAAGGAGTAGCTACCAGTAACGAGGCTATATACAAGGAGTAGCTACCAGTAACGAGGCTATATACAAGGAGTAGCTACCAGTAACGAGGCTATATACAAGGAGTAGCTACCAGTAACGAGGCTATATACAAGGAGTAGCTACCAGTAACGAGGCTATATACAAGGAGTAGCTACCAGTAACGAGGCTATATACAAGGAGTAGCTACCAGTAACGAGTCAATGTGCTGGGGTACGAGGTAGTTGAGGTAATACAGTATGTATATGTGGGTAGGGTTAAAAATGACTTGGCAATCAGGATATATAATAAACTGAGTAGCAGCAGCGTATGTGACGTGTGAAAGTGTGTGTTTTGTGTGTGTGTGTGTGCTGGAGTGTCAGTCAGTGTAGTATCTGTGAGTGTGCATAGAGCCAGTGCAAGGGAGTCAGTGCAAAACAATTAAGATAAATAAATAATAAAGGGGGTCAATGGAAATTGTCCGGGTAGCCATTTGATTAACTGTTAAGCAGTCTTATGGCTTGGGGACAGACTTGGCTCTCCGGTACAAATGTACATTTACATTTTAGTCATTTAGCAGACGCTCTTATCCAGAGCGACTTACAGTTAGTGAGTGCATACATTTTCATACCAGTAACGTTAACGTTAAATAGTTCGCTTTAGTAAATCTTAAACGAAATTGCAATGGGTGTGACGTGAAACAAAATACTCACATTGTGTCTTCTGATCCAATATAATATAATTAAGGGAAGGTTAAACAACCTAGCTAGCTACACACAAAAGCAGAAAATGTTGAACATTTCTCGACCATCAACAACACGACGTCCGTTTCTGATGACGTAGGTACGGATGTCTTTGAGGGTCAAAATTGGTTGTAGCCGCTACTGTTATCGCTTTTATTGGCTGTATTTTGACAACACTGTCGTTTAAAAGTGTCGTTTTAATCGCTGTTTATTATTAAAAATATGAGAAGAATGGATTGAATGATGAAAGAAAGTATAAACATGTCATCCGTCGCGTGTAGACGGAACAAATAGTCTATAGTCCTTCCAACGCTTAAGACCTCCCATATGGTCTAGCGGTTAGGATTCCTGGTTTTCACCCAGGCGGCCCGGGTTCGACTCCCGGTATGGGAACGACTGTTTTGTTAAAACATCATTGAACATTATGTTGTCTACAGCAGTTTCCCAACCATGCTTCTCGAATACCCCCCTCCGTACATATTTTTTTTTGTCCAGGGCTAAAACAAAAATGTGTACTGTTGGGGGTACTCGAGGGTTTGGAAACACTGCTGTGGATTTCACTATTGTATTACTGCTAGATCTTTCGACCTTCAGCTTTTCAGACCTCCCATATGGTCTAGCGGTTAGGATTCCTGGTTTTCACCCAGGCGGCCCGGGTTCGACTCCCGGTATGGGAACGCTTGTTTTATTAAAACCTTGAACAGTAGGCCTACAGGTACCGTATATACAAGCCTGTGGCATTGACTGTTCACTAATGCGAACTGCCAAATAGAGTATTCTATCAGATGTAGGCTACTCTACTCTAGTAATGCTGCAACTAGCTCTCGGTCTCACATTATAATTAGACGTTCATCCATGTTTCTCGAACTTCAAATTTCAAAGTGATTAAGGTTATGTTTAGGCATTAACTCCACATTTTTAAAGTTAGGCATTAACTGTGAATGGTTAATGTTTGGGATAGGCTTAAAACAGAAAGCATTACATGTCCTTTGATAATGAACCTGAATACAATCAATCTGACAAACCTAGCGAAAATGTAAGAACTTCACCTGTGGAAATAGCCAGTAGCCTACTAACTCTAGAGACAGAATGTTGAATATCAGAATAACAGTAGAAGAGGTTCAAATAATCAACAAAAAATGTAATAATTTAAAAATATTTTATTTTAGTTCGGTTTTTAAAACAAATACACTCATTCAATTAAATACAGTAAAAAAAAGTGTTTTGGAGAAAGAGTTGGTGAGACGTGCTGTGAATACTAACCTGCTTTTTTAAACTGAAACAAAAACAGAATGTGAGAGTATTATACATAAATGATCTTTTAAAAGAAATCCTTCATCCCAAAAGACAAAACATCTACCGTGCTCCTCATCAACAAAAGTATAATTAACCATAAAAGTGCAATATCACAAATAAAATGAACAAAAACACTTAGATTTCAATTCACACTTGTACAATCAGTGCAACAATTACAAATATTTCATAGATACACCAGTGAATCTTTATAGTTTAAAAAGTGTCCAAAACACAACTTGAAGTCATTTCCCTGTCTTGGTGAGACATTTTGTAAACAAATTCAGACATTAGCTTTAATTTGGTTAATATGCTTCACATAAAAAAATTCAAGAAGAATATTGCATCAATACGATCAGCATCCCAACAATGCACACTGAAAGTTAACTTTAGTCTGTACACTAATCATAAGATAATAAATACTACATATATATTTATTTTAATATACCTTGCCATGTAAAAATTTGACCAAATACACCCAGACAATAGGGAGTGATTTTGATTTTGTTTTAGCAGTATCTCCATTAAGAGAAAATACACCTTTTATTTATCAGTTCCAAAGTAAAAAAAACTAATTCTGTGGCTTAATTAGCATAAAGTGGCAGCTCTTTCTTTAGGACATCAATGTAACCATAGAGCCTGTGGTTAAAACTTGTTAGTGCATAATATCAACGGGGGGATTCCCCTTGGCACAGACCAAATTGGACAGGTGGAGAATGCATGTTTTACTTTTTGAGCGCTGAGCACACCTCACATACCCAATCATGAGGGTGTTCTACACAAGGTTGTTATTCCCTATAGTTTGGTTGACCTGCCTTCTCAATTCCCCAAGAACACTTTGTGTGGCAGTGAGTGACCCCAACCAGCAGGGTCTTTCTACATTGCCAGCTCTTCTTCTTCTCTGGATCCCATCTCTCCATTCATGTCTCCATTCATCCATCTCTCAGTAGCAGCCATCTCTCCAGCTCCTGTCTTGTAGGGCACTCAGGGTGGACAAGCTCTTAGGAGGCGTCAATAAACTGGGGGAAATAAGATCAGATTGAGATGAAAAATAAGGAATAAATGACGATCCCAGACAATAAGAACCTAGTTTTGAGCTTGTTGGTGCTCCCCTAGTGTCCAACAGTAGCCTACCTGCGTGCGGGTTGGGCGATCTTGCTTCGAGGGGTGGAGCTGGTCCCGATAAAGGAGGCGGGGCGGGGCAGGCTACTCCGGGGGGGTGTAGGAGTGCCCCCAACCCCCCCGGCTGGTTTACTAGGGAGGGGGATCCCACTGATGCCGCTGAGGGACTGCAGACTGGTGGAGGTCGGCATGGTAACTGGCCCTTTCACAGTGGGGCTGACGTAGGCTGTGGCTTTGAGGGGTTGCCGCGACAACGACTGGAAGTTCCCCACACTCTGGACTCTGTTCTGCAGCTGACCGGGTGAAGGGACTAGTGGGGAGAGGAACATGGATTATTATAATATTCATGTTTTCCTCAGATCTACTGTATAATCTATGGACTACCTACTTAGAATTATCATTTTCAATTTGATGAATTCTGGCAAGTCAATCAAGCCCTGCAGTTTTATAGTATGTGTGTGGTCAGAGCTAAAACAAAGAAGAGGAGGGTATCTCACTGGAGGACTGTAGCCTGCTGGCCAGCCCATTGGACGAGTCGAAACTCAGACTGTTCCGAAGAGTGGAAGGGGAGCTGATGTGATTGGCTGGGCTCAGTGGGCTAGGCACGCTAGGCATGCTGGGAGCCCTGAACAGGTTGGGCATGCTCCTCCGCAGCTTATCTAAATAGAATGAACACACACACACACACACACAAATTCCTCTATGAATTCAAGGCCACAGATCCAGATGACTAAGATTGTATCATCTCACATTCTACATAGAGTCCTCTCTCTTTAAGAAGAATAAGTGTCACTCTTACTACTCTCTTTAAGAGCCCCCAAAGATAAACATCTCCTGTAATCTCACCACTCTCTATTCAGTGTCCCACTCCTGTTTAGCTCCCAGAACAGAAACAGAATACCCTCCAAGAGCTTAGGGAACAGTCAGTGTCACAAGAGGCTTACAGTTAGCACGTCACTGGTAGTCTGCCAGTACGGTCAACAGGCAAGGAACTACCTAGTGATTAATTAGTGGGTGACCTTAAAATGACCTGTTTCCACATTAACATAAACGATGACAAGTTGAACACAAACCTATAAATAGATTAGTATAATTATTTCATAAGAGGGCCATCATGCCGTGTGTCATAATTCTTGTCATAGTGCTCCGTTTGTAGCCCTACTAATATTGTACTTTGTTGATATGCAAATGTGCCACCAAGACAACACAAAAAGGCTTGTTTGAAAAACGTACTCTCATATTCATCTGCATTCCAAATGTGATCCCCAAAATACATAGCGAACATAAACACACATAGATAAACACACAAACATTATTATTAGAGGAGAGTCTTGCAAAGCAATAATTCTTATTAGAAAGTGTGAGATTTCATAACTTTAAGCAGAGGGCCAGGGTTGCGTGCAATAGACACCGAACAGGAGAAAACGTTTGAAAAAAAATGGAGGAGTCCAGTACAACCTGAAGCTGTCCAATAAAAACGTCTTCATTGTCATTTTCCCTAATGAACGCAACCCAAGTACCTGCATGGGCCAGGCCTGCTCACCTGATCCTGGTCTGAAGCCCTGCTGGTCGGGTGTGTAGGTGCTGAGTGTGGGGCTGGCCAGGGCCTGGGGTTGGGGTGGTGGCTGATAGGAGAATCCTCCAGAGGGGTACTGAGGGGTGGAAGGGCTGGAGAGACTGGTGGTGCTCCTCCTCCAGTCCCGTATGCTGGAGAAGGTGTGGGAGTGGGGGAGGCCTCGCTGCAGGGTGGGTCCCACACGGGTCAAGCGGGGCTGGGGAGGAGGTAGCTGCCCGTACTCTTCCTCCTCCTCTTCCTCGTCCAGGTCGGCCTCGCCGCTGTGCTGAAGGGAGAGGAAGGAGAAGCTGGCGCTGCGGCGGTTGATGGAGTTGGTGGCATAGTCCTGACGAAGACCTGAAGGAGGGGGAAATACGGACAAGCGCACAAACACACAAACAATCACACACACAATCAGTCGTCACCTTCTGTGCCTGAGGTTAAGGTTAATAAAGCCTGGATGAAGTCTGAGGTCTAGTATCACATGTTACAGTGTTAGAAGGGAGAGAAGGACAGAAGAAGATAAGTAAAGAGAGACAGAGAGAGAGAGAGAGAGACACAAAGAGAGACAAAGAGAGACATTGAGAAAGAGGAACAATAAAGGGCAAGAATAGGGCCAGGAATCCAAAACCACATGACCTGACCATGAACAACTCTGGGCCCTACTTTTAACCTTGGGGCCCAGAGTTATTCCCTTTCAGGTCACCTGCTCAATAGTTAATAATAATAGTTCTGATATATAAAGCATTTTCCACCTATAGATGCTCAAACCCTTTTACATAGTAAGGAGGGAAATTCACCTCTTACTATGTAAAACACCATATAGTGACAGCTATGTGACAACACCAAAGCAGTTATTATAAGGGTGAGGGACTCACTGTCCTCCTGCAGACGAGCCATGACTTGGACGTCAACAAGGTCCTGTAGCTTGTATCCCTGGGTGATGGAGTCATCCTCCAGCTCTGAGGCACTGAGCTCACTGTCTACGGAAGACTGGGGGCTGAGGAGGAATCGCCGGAGGCTGCGGCCTTCAGGACACAACAACACAGTCCGGGGGTCAGAGGTTAGATCAGAGACAAATGACACTGCAGAGATTTTACATTAACAACGAACACAAAGAACACTGACATGATGAAAAGCAAGATTTGTTTAGATAGAGGTACACTGGCAGCAAAAAAAGCCACAAAAACATCACTCTCCCTTTAAGAAACATTGCCGAGTCACTGTTAGTGGGGAGGCCACGTCATGGAATTGTGCCTTTGGTGATAGAAGCACCACAACTCACAGACAAAGCTAGAATAGGCCATATTGTGTTTATGGCCACACCAAGCCCCCATGGCCATTTTCCATTATGGCCGCCAGACAGGTCCCACAGGCTCGCCCTAGCTGTGTGATATTTAGTGCTTCCATCACCAAAGGGACTATTCCACTCAAGTCTGTCCCCTCACCATCCCACTATGTTGAACTTCACATGGCAAACACCTGAAGCAGCAGAAACTGAACACACACTGAAACACTCCTTCTCTTGCCATGATAAATGATGAATGATGACCGTGGGGGCTTCTCAATAGTCTATAGTGGCTTCCTCTCCTCCACTTGTGTCCGCCTCTGTTCTGATCTGACAAGACAGCCAAGGTAGGTGAAACGTAAGTGCTTTCACCTGTCCATATCTCTAACATCAGCAGGAATGAAGGAGAGGAGACAAGGAGAGGAAGCTCTTTCAGACAGACTATTGAGATGCAAACCTTGACATGACACTATGAGAGAGACTGAGACAACATGGGCCAGCGGGGGAGCGAGCAAGGCTTACTGCGATTGGCTGAGTGATTGGCTGGGAGGAATGTGGGAATTCTCTCAGCCTTCCCAACAGGAGACAGAGACAGGTGGAGGAGAGGATGGAGGGGTGAGGAGAATGAGGCTGACGGCGGGAGAAAGAAAGGGAGGGGAAGGAGACAGGATAACGGGGAGAGAAAGAGAGAATCATGGAGAGTTGTTTTAATGGAGAAAAAAAGACTAAACTATTCCAATCAAGACTGTGGTATTATTTCAATTGTGAAATACCATGTTCGAGAAGTAATCATGGATAGAGTATCCCTCATGTCTAAGGACCAGGGTTTTTCCTCGGCTGGTGAACTGATCAGGAAAAGTTGAGTTTCTGCTCAGTAGGGCCCAGAATTGTTGTGCTCAATAGGGCCCTGAGATGTTCTGCTCAATAGGGCCCAAAGGTTTCCTCCTCAATAGGGACAAGAGTTTTTCCTGATCAGGTTGCAAGGTTGAAAAACTCCTAGTCCTACTAATGTCATATGGTAATATTATGGTAATCTGTCCCCATATCACATAGTAATCTGTGTGTGTATTTACCAGGTCTGTCAGCGGACGGAGGGGTGGAGCAGGACCTGGAGAACGAGGCACTGAGGGGGGACACTCCAGCTACACGTCTCAGGGGGAGGGCAGGGGACGAGGGGCTGGAGAAGACCCCCCGCCACCTATGGACTACGCATGGGAGGGAGGAGGAGGAGGAGGAGGATAAGGGAGGGATAAAGTAAGGCAATGTCATACTGTATTGTATCAGACCACCCCCAAACACACACAAACACACAAACACACACACAGCTGTCAGTGCTTTCCGGGCCCCTCACAAGGAACAGAGGTCAGCAGTGTGAAGCGGTTGTTTACCTCATAGCCAGCGCGTCACACTGCTGTGACTGTCACAGAACCACTATTCAGCAGCAGCCAGGGAACACATCTGCTGTCCAATGCCCAGGAGACAAAGCTGCATTCACAACCCTCACACACACACACACACACTGCTCAACACACCCATTCAGCACAGGCCAGGACCAGGGACAGAGCAGCGACCACACACACTGCACACACACACACACCATCTGATATATATTCATAGAGAGGAGACCTACAGGAATGAACATTCGCTAAGTAAATATCCCAGCAATCCATCTAGAGGACACATGGTGGATCAAAGAACAAAGACAGACAGAAGAATTAATAATAAATGTTGCAGAGCTGAGAAATAAAAGTGTCTCTCTCTTTCCCTCTGTGTGGTGGTGCGACTGTGAGCTGCTCAACGCAGCGCTGCATATATCCCTGCACCACAGATAGAATGGGGTTATGCTATACCGGTCACTGAGAATATAAACCACTTAGCAGCATCGAGGGAAGGTGCCTTTCATGTAAACACGGTAACCATGGTTACCCCTCTGGTTGCCGAGGGAGGCCCTGTGAACGTAGCAACAGGCAGATAGTAGGCCAAGTGTGAAAGCAGTGGAAGGCTTTTCCTGCAGTTACAGCTACTGTGGAATTAATACATGGGCTTCTAGTAGAGATTCTTACAGCAATACATTGTATTAAGATACATGTAACTGCCAGAATAAAGGAAACACTTGAGTATTTGAGGGATACAAAGTATATTTGTTAAGTATTACACTATGTTGTTGTTCCCTTTATTTTGTCAGTTACCTGTAATACACTGATGCAAAGGCAGCTTCACTGATGCAACGATAAGCTGTTGCATGACAAGTATATAATATGAACGCCAAGTCAAATTAGATCTAATGTGTAAAAACATAATACATTTGATACTTTTCAAATAGATAATAGTAAAAACAAATACAATTAAGCTGACGTGTGTGCTTATTCTCAGCTGTTGAAAGTGACGCATGGCACAACACACGCTGGGAGACAGTTGCGGCCAGTGCTTCACCTCTCATTAAGAGCTTAGTGGACTTAAGCTGTATTAATACATTACCTTCAGCTAAGACCGTGGGAGCCGTCACATCACATCCATTCACTCTTCCACTGTCCTGTTTCACACGACAGCCTCTTCTCAGACATTAACCTAAGGTCCACTCACCACTCTCAGTGGTCATTAGACACCATGGAATGTCTCACAAGAGTAGAGGCCTTAACCCTGGTGTGAAGGCTAAATTCCCCCAGTTGGCCACGCATACCTTCACTTCACGGCCACCCATTCATTACCATTCAACCCTGTCACCTCTCCACTGCAACCCTTCTCCAGGTAGATGCTGTGAATTAGAATGTGATCTCCATCACCTAACCAGGTGAAATTAATGCACTCACTGTCACAGGGGCGCAACTTTGGTTTTAGAAGTGGGGGGTACATAATATATACAGTTGAAGTCGGAAGTTTACATACACTTAGGCTGGAGTCATTAAAACTCATTTTTCAACCACTCCACAAATTTCTTTTTAACAAACTATACTTTTGGCAAGTCGGTTAGGACATTTTTCTAACATTTGTTTACAGACAGATTATTTCACTTATAATTCACTGTATCACAATTCCAGTGTGTCAGACGTTTACATACACTAAGTTGACTGTGCCTTTAAACAGCTTAGAAAATTCCAGACATGGCTTTAGAAGCTTCTGATAGGCTAACTGACATAATTTGAGTCAATTGGAGGTGTACCTGTGGATGTATTTCAAGGCCTACCTTCAAACTCAGTGCCTTGACATCATGGGAAAATCAAAAGAAATCAGCCAAGACCTCAGAAAAACAATTGTAGACCTCCACAAGTCTGGTTCATCCTTGGGAGCAATTTCCAAACACCTGAAGGTACCACGTTCATCTGTACAAACAATAGTACGCAAGTATAAACACCATGGGATCACGCCTCTGTCATACCGCTCAGGAAGGAGACGCTTTCTGTCTCCTAGAGATGAACGTACTTTGGTGCGAAAAGTGCAAATCAATCCCAGAATAACAGCAAAGGACCTTGTGAAGACGCTGGAGGAAACAGGTACAAAAGTATTTATATCCACAGTAAAACGAGTCCTATATCGACATAACCTGAAAGGCCGCTCAGCAAGGAAGAAGCCACTGCTCCAAAACCGCAATAAAAAAGCCAGACTACAGTTTGCAACTGCACATAGGGACAAAGATCGTACTTTTTGGAGAAATGTCCTCTGGTCTGATGAAACAAAAATAGAACTGTTTGGCCATAATGACCATCGTTATGTTTGGAGGAAAAAGGAGGTGGCTTGCAAGCCGAAGAACACCATCCCAATTGTGAAGCACGGGGGTGGCAGCATCATGCTGTGGGGGTGCTTTGCTGCAGGAGGGATTGGTGCCCTTCACTAAATAGATGGCATCATGAGGAAGGAAAATTATGTGGATATATTGAAGCAACATCTCAAGACATCAGTCAGGAAGTTAAAGCTTGGTCGCAAATGGGTCTTCCAAATGGACAATGACCCCAAGCATACTTCCAAAGTTGTGGCAAAATGGCTTAAGGACAACAAAGTCAAGGTATTGGAGTGGCCATCACAAAGCCCTGACCTCAATCCTATAGAAAATGTGTGGGCAGAACTGAAAAAGCGTGTGCGAGCAAGAAGGCCTACAATCCTGACTCAGTTACACCAACTCTGTCAGGAGACATGGGCCAAAATTCACTCACCCAACTTATTGTGGGAAGCTTGTGGAAGGCTACACGAAACGTTTGACCCAAGTGAAACAATTTAAAGGCAATGCTACCAAATACTAATTGAGTGTATGTAAATGTCTGACCCACTGGGAATGTGATGAAAGAAATAAAAGCTGAAATAAATCGCTCTCTACAATTATTCTGACATATCACATTCTTAAAATAAAGTGGTGATCCTAACTGACCTAAGACAGGGAATTTTTACTAGGATTAAATGTCAGCAATTGTGAAAAACTGAGTTTAAATGTATTTGGCTAAGGTGTATGTAAACTTCCGACTTCAACTGTATATATTTTTTTATCCAGTCGGATAAACACTCCAAACAGCCTACCCGACCACTCGGAGGCGTCCGCATGGTCCTAAAGCACACCTTTGCCTCGTTTTGTATCACATTCCAATGATAAAACTAGGGGGACGGACAAAAATGCAATTTGATGTCCCGTCCCCGTCCCCCCGTCCCCCGTGAAAGTTGCGCCCCTGCACTGTCATAACCATGGTACCAATGTGTGAGTCTGTAGGTTTGTATACTGCTGTCTTTTCAGGAGTGACTCTGCTTGTGCGTGACCACTGTATGTAGTTTAATGTAGCCAGTACTGTGTGTAGTTTAATGTAGCCATTACTGTGTGTAGTTTAATGTAGCCAGTACTGTATATAGTTTAATGTAGCCAGTACTGTGTGTAGTTTAATGTAGCCAGTACTGTATGTGACTAGTGACTGTCTGGCAAGGTGATGTACTTTTACCTCTGAGTCCAAAATAGTCTGGAGTAGCCTGGTTACCTAATCCTGAGAGATTTGAGGACCTGTTTCATACTGAGCTCTATGCCTCAGAGTGCTAACCTCCTCCCTCACCTCCAGTGAATTCAACAACATGCTTCAATCACACACATGCAGAGGAATTGTCTCATAACAATTGAACTCATAACATGAAGGCTGAGTAACTCACTTTACTTACAACAATCACTACTGCTTTTCTCAGTTGTCAAACTGATGTGCTATTGTGTTTGTGCAAAAGGCCCAACGTTAGATTTGTTGTACGTACTAATCTTATCTGTTCTGCACACTCAGCAGTTTCCTCGTTATGGTAACGAGATAGAGGTGTGATCTCACGTGGATTATAATGATCTGTTTATCATTATTAAACTTGATGAGACCAATGCACACACACACATGCAAGCGCGCACGCACGTATACACACACGTACCCACCCACACAGTAAAGTACAATCATAACCATCTGTTGAAAGAAAGTCTTTGAAAACCAGACATTTTGTCAGGTTGACAGAAAACCATGGTCCATTATATAGCCATCCATCCATCCATCCTTTTTTGGTCCCTAGGTTCCACCCCTCCTCATACCTTGGTCCAACCTGAGGCACAGTGAGCGGGCAGACTCCACCTCTGCTCTGGGACTGTCCAGGACCTGTCTGCTCCACTGGAGGGTGGTAACAGGGCTCTCCCCCGACAGCCGGGCCTTGGCTGACACATACAGCCTGCAGGGAAGACAGGATGAGAGAGCCAGAGGAGAAAGAAGAGAATTTCACTGCCCTATAGTCCCATATCAACCCCTACCGTCTACAGGGAAGACATTTGTTTCGGTTCAGAGATACGTTTACCCGTTTTACTGTGATCCAAAAAATTGACATCAAGCCAAAACCTCACTTAGGACCTGAGAATAGAATCATATTGATTGTAGCCAACAAGTGCAAACTGTGGCGCTAAAATCGTGGAGCGCACAGTGTGGAGCAGCCAATTCTGACTCCAGTTCAAAATTGGTTTTGGCCACTATACTGGATATGAGATAATAAAGAATGAGTCAAAAGTAGAATGTCGCCTTTTATCTGCGGGTATTCTTATGCATACGTTTTACCACTAAAACAATAGCACTTTGTGTCCAGTCCTCCCCCCAAGTCAACCTGTCTCAGACTGATGCAGTCTAGCCTCCATTTCAACAGGCACATGTTCATAGAGCACAGTGGCTGCCTGCTCAATCGTAATCGTTGACGATGATCATTGCAACAAATCGATATTTTGTGTTTGCTAAAGAAAAATCGAATGACATTGTAACAAGTGTCCGCTCGATCTTTCTATCCAATTAGCTTCGAAGGTGTGGCTTTGTTGTCGTATATCATTCCTACTACGATTTGGTTCTCATTTGCAGGTGCAGAATTATATTCCATAGGCCTACTTCTACTAGAGTAACACAGTCATATATCCTATAACATAAACAAAACACTGCATCACCATCGTATATGACATATCAACTGTCATATGCAAATAAGGACTGCAAGTTTCAAAGAAATCTGTCAGATTAAATGTGCCACCTGTCAACCACATTATACAAACCATTGGACAATGTGAAATAGTTACCAGGTATCTTCAGATTCCTCATGAGAGAATATAGAATCTAGGTCCAGAATGTCCACCTCATCCAGAACCGTGGGTTCCGTATAATCAACCTCCGCCTCTAGAGCAGCATCAGCAGCGGCATAATGCGAATGTAAATATTCGAACGGTTTGTCCGACGGGAAAAATGACCCCAAGGAAGACTGGCACAGTAGTGTCGGTAACGGACTAGGTGTGCAGTAGCTCCCGGCCATATAGGCCGGGGAGGGAGGTAGAATGTGGGGGCTGCCAGTGCAGCCGTTCGCCCGCGTCCTCAGTTGCTCATTTTGCCGCTCCAATTTCCGAACCAGCTCTTGGAGCTTTTTCACCTCCAGTTCGGCGTTCACGGCATTGCTGTTGCCGTTGACATCCGTCATTATCTGGGGGTTCATCACCGCTGCATCCATTGGATGGAAAAGTACAAATACCCGATATATTTTAATTAAATGGTGGACGGGGTAAGCTACAATCAGTCTCAGCCCATCCGTTGCCCTCACTGTGATTTGGGTATTGGTTGTATCTTCCTTGCTCCAGTGCCCATCAATACTAGAGCATTCAGATGCCGCCCATTTCACCAAATGAGGGATGGTGGCGTGCTACAGATTGTCTCCACCCCCAGCGTGGTGAGTCCACCACCGGAACTGTTGCCTAATTAGAGATTTCAGGACAGGCGCAAGCAATCCTCAAACTTAACAGTTGTGACATTCATTAGTGACAATTATGTGCCATTTTTACAGTATAGGCCTAACAATTTCTTTGACCATAAAGAAAATGCACAACACATTGCCTTTGTCCGTAAAGAAAGTGCAACATTTTTGTTTCAAATATGTTTATTAATACATGAGAAAGAGAGATTCCTTCCAAAGTGAAAATACATTATTTTTTAATAGCCTACCTTTTGATAACACAATATTTGATTATATACCAGCATACACTATTGACTTCTGTTGATATACACATAAAGATCTATTGAATTGAATAATAATCTCACCAGCCACTGTACTGACATACTCTACAACCGCATGCTCAGAGCGCCAAGCATCTTGAACACTCCGCTGGTTCTGCCAGGGCATTTTATGTGCATTTATCGCCATCCTGTGGTGTGAATTGAGACGGCACATGATGGAACTGTGGTGACTTTTTCCCTTTTAACGCAGGAGTGAAAGTTCTGAAAGCACGAAATATAAATACAGTATCTGCGACCGCAGATTTCAGCACCATGGACAGCGACTGAGGCGGAATCCCTAAAGTGGACTTTCAGCACTCCATGACAGTGGACAGCGCCTGGTTTTTCGCAGCTGCAACGTTACTGGCCATTTATTTATTTTATAAAGAATAAAAACAGCATATTATAGCAAGGTATATGAAAAACAACATTTTATTTCCAATATACAGACAAAGACAGTCAATGGACAGGTGTGTTGTCAGAGATGGCCCTCTGGTGGCTGAGAAAACACATTACAGCCTATATGGAGTTGGGAATTCCGCCCTCACATGGACAGAACCCCTTTGCATTTGTACAGGTATTTGAGTCATCTACTTGATGGCTATTTCCCAGATCTAAAACACCTTTAGGGGACATACAAAAAGCTAAAATAGGGGTTGGATGAACAATTTGTCCACTTACTAATAACAGTTCTGCCCTCAGAGGAAGATAATGTTGATTAAGATGTTGCTCTGATTTCCCTGTGTTCTGGCAGTCTGACAGCTAGTCCTAAAATAGACAGAGCTCTGTGAGCCAGGACCATTCTCACTGTCCAGTTCCATTCTCTCCTCTACCTCAGCGTTTCTTCCAGGTGAACTTCCTCCTCGCTCCCTCCTGGCCCGGCTTCTTCCTCTCCTTTATTCTGGGGTCAGGGGTCAGCAGCCCAGCTGAGAGGGAGGCAGAGATGCAGGTCAAAGGTCAAACCAAAAACAGTATAATACATCAACGACAACGCAACAGAGGAACAGCAGCCAATGTTGTTAATTTGATGTACATTTAATAGATAATGAAGCTTTCTGAATGATGTGTGTGTGTGTGTGTGTCTCATTGGTTGTGTGTGTGTGTAGTACCACTATCCACCTTGTCTCATGGTCTCCACCTGTCCCTCAGACAGGAAGCTGAGCATGGCGCGGGAGATGGCGAGGCGTAGCGCCCCCGCCTGGCTGGAATGGCCCCCGCCACTCACACTGCACTGCATGTCAAACCTCCCCAGCACCCCCATGAAGTGGAGGGGGAACATCAACTGCTCCCTGTCAGGGGGAGAGGAGAGGGATGGGGATGGAGAGAAGGGAGGGGAGGGAGGATAAAGGAAGGGTATGGAGAGGGGAGGGATAAAATGATTGAGGGAGGGAGAGAGGGAGAGAGGTGGAAAGGAGGGAGGGAGAAAGAGGGGTTGGTTACGAGGGAGAGAATGAGAGAGAGAGGAGCACAAAACAGGGGGAGAGAGAGAGGGGGGAGGAGAGAGAGAGAACGGATATATAGAGATGGGGGGGGGGGAGAGAGAACAGGATAGAGAGAGAGAGAGAGAGGGAGAGAGAAAGGATTGAGAGAGAGAGAGAACGTAAAGAGCGAGGAGAGCACGAGAAGAGAGAGAGAAAGAAGAGAGAGCTCAGGAATAGATCGAGATAGAGAGAGAAGAGATGCAAGACAGGAGAGAGAGATAGAGACGAGATCTGATGAGAAAGAGGAGATCTCTCTGCACAGAGATAGAGGCCAGAGACAGGGATGCAACGACGCGCTCGGGGCGAGGAGCGCGATGCACAAAGAGCCAGTCAATGGAGTGGACACTGGACAGTGAGATACAGATGATGAGACGTAAGATGTAAACTACTGCTAGAGAGACCGAGTCATAGTTAGACTACAGCAGTCACTCTTTGACTCATGGAGACACTGACGTGAGATACCAGATAAAGGCAGTGTTGTGTGTATAGAGCCTTTAACCTTGCTAGACCAATTTCTACCAGTCACCTTCTGACTCAGCATGAAAAAGACAGATGAGGGGTGTGTGTATCTGAGTGTTCTGGCCCACGTCCCAACAGACTAAATGAAAGGCGTATTGCTGACACAGTCAAACCACCGTCATCCTTCAGGTCCTATTATTCCTGTCTCAGTCTGTCCTCAGCCCAGGAGATAACACCCCAACACACACACACACACACAGTTGTGTAATTATCTCTGCTATATCCCAGATACATAAGAAGCTATAACACAGTGAAGTGCAACATAACGCTACTGTTCAACAGCGTTTTGTTTGAGAGTGCACGTGGCACGGCGTGCACGTGAAGGAGGGATTGGGAGAGGAGTGTCGTGTGGAAAGCAGCAGGGACTTTTGATGTATTTGGGGGGTGAGGCAACACTAAGGGGGGCATGTAAATCCTCTAAAGGTTCCTCTCCGATCGGTCTCCTACTTCATCAGTACTGGTCTGAAAGCACAGGCTATTTTATACAATAAGATGGATGTCTAATGGGAAGGAATACAGACCGGTCTTGCAGGACAGGGAAGTAGTGGACATAGTTTGTTCCGTTGATGCTGATGGATCCTGAGCCACTATCTCTCAGCAGGACAGTAGCTGTAGCAGTCTTCCTCCTGCCTGGGAACCACACATTCACACACACAGACACAAAATGAATTATCCTTTATTTCTCCAGGTGAGTCCCATTGAGATAGATCTCTCTCTTTTACCATGAAGCCCTGGCCAACCAATGACTGTAGTTGATTCTTTGAAAGGAAGAGATTACTGAAACTGTCGTGAAATTTAGACCCGGGTTGCTGTCAACTGCTTTGAGACAAATGTAAATAAATGCTATGCTATTGATTAATTGATTGATAAAAGCCCAATCGTATTAATTGATTGATTGCTGTTTTACCATCTCCGGTGCTGTATGCCACTCCGTGCTGGTCGTTCTGTAGTGGCTGGACCTGCTGCTTGGAGGACTGGATCTCCAGCTGTCTGCGGTACCGCTGGACAAAGTCCTCCTCCACAGAGCAGTAGGGCAGAGACAGCAACCTCTCCATCAGCTGGATGAACCGTGCATACTGAGGAGTGAAACACACAACATGTAAGAATAGGAGTTTCCCTTAGACGCTGATCTTGGGTCAGTTTAGCATTTCCCCCACTAATGGCAAAGGTTAGGATTGGGGGAGGGGACGCTGATCCTGGATCTGTAGGGGAAACCTCACCCCAGAGCGTAAGAACATAAGCACACACGCATTCTTTCTATTGGCGTTGTATGGCTCTGTTCAGTGTCTGAACAACAACCTCTTGTGGTGACTAGGTGAACTGCATCATACCAGTGATACAGTATCTAGGATCCCCATAACCAGGTTTCCATCCAACATTTTATGTGAGTAAAGTACATACAAATTACAAATACATTTAAAATATTGGAAGGCATGATGGAAACAGTAAATCTATCGGCAAGCTTTCCAAATGCTGACAAACAAAATACGCTAGACAAGTCGGGATCTGTTTGTGTCGGTAAATTTAATGATGTCGAGAAATGGCGGTGGAAACGTTTTTATGCGCAAATATTGATATAATAACCATATCGAAGTAAACCTGGAGTCAGGCGATGATATGTTGCGTGGTCCTCCCACTTCGACTCGGGAAAGCATGGAATTTATTAGGCAGCAGATTAAATAAGTTATGAACTTCACAAGGTGGTGAAAGTGCAAGGTGATGAGCTTGATGCTCCTTTCCAATAAATATCGAGGGTCTTATTCTGGTGACATGATGATCGATGCTTGGCTGCCATTTGACAAATTAAAAGAATACGCTCTTTTGTCCATAATATATCTGCTAGCTGTTGGCTAGAGCGCACGTACCAATACCAGTGGGCACATTCGCTATATAACGCAACATTTGTGACAAAACTATCAGAGTTGAAAATGCGAGAAATCCATTTAACTTGTATTTTTTATTCAAACTTTATTTTTATGTGCACTACCTCATCACCCACATACTTTTATCTGGAACAATTCAATTCTTCTCTGGTGGGACATGTGCATATTTTATTTATGCTGATTTTTTAATATTCACATGAAAATCTGTCACCAATTGGATGGAAACCTAGCTAGTGATATCTAAGGTATTTTTTCTCAGTAAATACTATCACAGCAGAACTGGGAAGGAGGAGGAATGAGGGAAAGCAGCAGATATCTGGATGTGATGACATTAAAAGAGCTCCTTCTTACATCGTGATCTGAGATGTTCTCCACCAACAACTCCTCCAGCTCTTCTTTCAGCAACCACCGACTACCCACCAGAGAACTGAAGACAGACACAGTTAGATACACACACGCATCAACATTAACTGGTGAAAGTATTTCACTGCTCAGTGAAAACAACACCCTCACATCTGCTTGGTGTCCTGGGTGAAGAGACCCTTTCCTCTCAGACGGTCCTGTTGCTTCTCTACTGCCAGGGCTTTAGTGGAGGTGTCCTGAATGGGCCAGGAGGACACAAAACAACATCTAACTCCATATGGTCTATGAACCTTTCACTCAATATTAACAATCTGTATTTGCATTGTATCAAGAAAAGACCAGTATGGAGTGCATTGTATATTCTGACACACACACACACACACACACAAACCCTTGAGATAGAGAAAGAGAGAGAATTCTCCATTATGAAAGCAGATCCCATCTCTCTCCCCATCCTTGGCTGGATTTAATTGGGTGGGGAAATTGAATTGGGGAGCACTTGGGCTATAGCCGACTCCTCCTTTCTCCCCGAGAAGCGAGAGCCCTAGCTAGTCGCCGTCCGCGGGCACGCTTGTCTAAATTGGCATCGCGCCCACAAGCTTGGCGTTAGCCCATCAAGCGGTACGGTACGTTGGGGCTGGCGGTAGCGGGCCCAGACCCGAGCCGGGCAGGCAGGCTGGTATTCTGGTCACGTCCCGAAGCAGCCTCAACCCCCCTTGCACCCCCTCCTCCACGCGACTGGGCGAGAACTCCTTTCCCTGTCCATTATTCAGCAGATGTTTGTTTAATTCCTTCTTGATAGAGTGGAGTCTAATCCGCCAACACTCCGCCACAGAGAGCGAGACAGACAGACAGAGGGGGGGGGGAAGCAAACATCAAGCAAAAACCAATTTGTGTCACAAAAAAATAAGTAATACAAAAATCTTTATAAAAAGGGAGGGTAGGGGTTGGTGTGAGGGGGTTTTGCGTTACACATTTGTGAATACTGGGCCCTACAATGGCTGGAAAATGATTCAGGTATAAATATAGAGGCCTGGATGAAAGAGAGGAGGATAGTGGGCGAGGGGGCGCAATGATCTACACATTTGCGAGAAGCCGATCATAGAGAGAAAGCAATATGGAAGAGAAATGAATGCCTCCTATACTTGAATATTTTATACTCAACTCTCTCTTGACTCACTCCTAGTTCTTCAAATTCAATAAGCAGTGTGAAGCACCCTGTTAGCATGGTTTTGGCATGGCTTCACCGGTGTGTCCTTATATAGCAAAGCTCTGAGGAATATGAGAATGAACTCCTCTGGCTTCAGAGGCTACAGACCCCGCTCTAACATGATCACGTTGAGGTAGTAAGAGGGGGTTTAGATATGAAGGGGGGGTTCCCCTGGTTCCCCTCAGCAGTGGGTAGGGTAGGGGGTAGATAAGATAGAGAGGGCAGTGGAGCAGTGAGGGGGCTAATGTGCCACGCTGGCTAAACCCACCAGAGCCACAGAGCACTCAACCTGGAAGCCTCTTCCTCATTCACACAGTCAGCTTTACACTCCACTGACTTGGCAGAGCTGTGTGTGTGTGTGATGTATTATGGGGGTGAGAGGAGGTGTTGTGGCTGTAAATAAAGTACTGTGCACATGTAAGTAGATGTGTGTTTACGGAGTTAATTAGCACTAAAATCTTGGGATTGTGATTATTCCAAAGGTATCAAACAATATGCTGTGTAGTGAGAGAGACGGATAGAAAGAGGGGAAACAGAGAGAGTAGTGACCCGTCCCCCTTTTAATCCCAGACTCAATTCTCCCCTGCAAGGCACACTGGGGTGTTTGTTGTACATGGTCGGGCTGCTCTGCAGGGGTCTAGGCTGAGAGGGGGAGGGGAGAGATGGAGAGAGAGAACAGAGAGAAAGAGGGAGAAAATCAAAAGGACGGGGGGGGGGGGGGCAATAGAGAGAAAAAGAGAGAGTTTTCCCTCAGAGAGACAGACAGCCCTCCCTCCCTCCCTCTCAGACACGTCTGGTCTGACATCCTTATTTAAACTAACAGCAGGGAGCCAGGGTTTGCTGCAGGGCAAGGGGTGGGGGGGGGTTTGACAAGAGGACAAAATACTGCCAGGATACACACACCTCTTATCTACCGGAGAAACACACCTCTGATCTACCGGAGAAACACACCTCTTATCTACCGGAGAAACACACCTCTTATCTACCGGAGAAACACACCTCTTATCTACCGGAGAAACACACCTCTTATCTACCGGAGAAACACACCTCTTATCTACCGGAGAAACACACCTCTTATCTACCGGAGAAACACACCTCTGATCTACCGGAGAAACACACCTCTGATCTACCGGAGAAACACACCTCTTATCTACCGGAGAAACACACCTCTTATCTACCGGAGAAACACACCTCTTATCTACCGGAGAAACACACCTCTTATCTACCGGAGAAACACACCTCTTATCTACCGGAGAAACACACCTCTTATCTACCGGAGAAACACACCTCTTATCTACCGGAGAAACACACCTCTTATCTACCGGAGAAACACACCTCTTATCTACCGGAGAAACACACCTCTTATCTACCGGAGAAACACACCTCTTATCTACCGGAGAAACACACCTCTTATCTACCGGAGAAACACACTTCTTATCTACCGGAGAAACACACCTCTGATCTACCGGTGAAACACACCTCTTATCTACCGGTGAAACACACCTCTGTCCAAGGTCAAATCAACCATATAAACAAGAGGAAGGTAAAGAGGGAGAGTGAAGGAAAAAGACAAAAGATGGAGGGTAAGCTGGGTGGGTAGGTAGCTAGTCTACAGCACCAGTCTCCAGGGACCCTCTACCTCTCTGGGTAAATCCCCAGGGCAGAGCAGCTCTCATCCAGGCACAAAGCCTGACTATCAGCCATGATAGTCACCGAGCCAGGCCTGAAACACGATTTAGGACAGGGACAGAGGGGCCCGTCACAGACACAGTCACCCCCCCTCCCTGTCTGCACCCCTCCCTACCTTCCTCAACCCACCTCTCCCAAATACTCTCCCCCCCTTCCTCTCCACTGCTCCTCCTCTCTCCATCCCTCCTTACCTCTATCCACATCTCTCTCCATCCCTCCATACCCCACCCCTCTCTCCCTCCCTCCCACCTACCCCACCCCTCCTGCTGCTATAGCTCTGGCTGTGTGTGTGAAATGGGATGTGACAGGAGCACCTTTCCCTGGGGATCAGAAGCCTCTCTCTCCCATAAATAGGGCCCTGGAGGCTAAGGCTGGGGGCATTCTACCTCCAGAAAAACATCCACCATCAGTCTTTCTCCTCCCTGTCTCTTTCTCACACACACACACACACACACACACACACACACACACACACACACACACACACACACATCCAGTACTCACGTGCATTAGAGAGTAGTAGGACTGCTTTCCTGTGTAGAACAGAAAGTGGAATGGTCGTCCATCTGCACCCCATTGGACAGCTAGAGGATGAGAGAGAGAGAGAGAGATATTTAGGCCATTGGAGTAAACTGCTTTACTCTATCAGGCCCAATCACTATTAGAGATTGAGCAAAAACTCAAGAGTGGTCCCCCTGCTGGTGATGTTGTATAAGTGCAGCTATCACACACAGTGAAAATGACCATAGGAGTAGAACAATCAGTCTCAGTTGTAAATCTATTTAAGAAGGACCTACCTCTCTGTTTTGGAAACACTTCATCCGGATGCTGGAAGAAAAGATGGATGAAGATTTTGAATCACTAATGAATTTGAAGTTGATGAGTTAATCCACTTCTACATGAGACAGAACAGGAGATATGGAGGAAGTCTAGTCTTACCTTCATCAGTGGTTTGGCTTTGTTGTCAAACAGGCCGGAGGGGAACAGGTATGCAATGCTTCTCTGGGACAGAAAGAGGAGAGAAGTCAAATGTCATTAACATATCCCAAAGATTGAGGGAGAACCTTTAGTTTAAACAGCTAGATCTGAACAGGGAGAACCTTTAGTTTAAACAGCTAGATCTGAACAGGGAGAAACCTTTAGTTTAAACAGCTAGATCTGAACAGGGAGAAACCTTTAGTTTAAACAGCTAGATCTGAACAGGGAGAACCTTTAGTTTAAACAGCTAGATCTGAACAGGGAGAAACCTTTAGTTTAAACAGCTAGATCTGAACAGGGAGAAACCTTTAGTTTAAACAGCTAGATCTGAACAGGGAGAAACCTTTAGTTTAAACAGCTAGATCTGAACAGGGAGAAACCTTTAGTTTAAACAGCTAGATCTGAACAGGGGTAAATGACAGTAGCAGGCTTAGCTAACAGGTTAGAGAGGAGACGCTCAAGTCTTGTAAGAGTTCAGATAAAGGCTAGAGGGAAATTCCTAGAGAGAGGCAGTGAAGGTTAGAGGGGAGAGAGAGAACAAACTAACAGCTAGGTGACAGGAACCAGAGGACAGACTAGAGTCACCAGTTCACCCTAAGTTCACACACTCACAGCCAGTCTCCTTGTGAAGGCAGCAGAGTGGAGCCAGGTCATTAGTGCTGCTACAGATGGTCCTACTCTTGACAGGGAAGGGTGTGTGTGGGAGAGTGAGTCTGAAGGTGTGTGTGTGCGTTTCTGTGTGGCAGGAGAGGGGGACAGACAGGTAGTGTCCACCCTGCCACTCTTCTCCAGCCAGGCTGTTCATCCTTCCTCTCCCTCATCTTTAACTTATTTTCCTCCTTCACTCTGTCTGCTCAATTAAGAGAGGGAACAGCTGCTAGAAGGAGAAATCATGCTGCAGCCTTTTGGGCTGTCAACACGAGGGGAATCAAAGAGAGAGAGAGGGAGGGCGGGAAGGAGAGTGAGAGGTGGAAGAGAGAGAGCCAGGTGAGTGGGAGGTATAAAAAAAGAAGACAGGGGAGGAGGAGAGTGGAACACTATGCCAGATGAAGGCAGCACCTGTTCATTTCATACCATAGGCTGCAATATGGCAGAGTCCCCTAGGGAGAGACAGAGAGGGGGGAAAGGAGAGACCTTCTCCCTGCCACACATTTCACAGTGTTGTTCACAGTACTCTAGATTCCTCCACTCTGTCTAAACTCCATCGATGTCAATAAACAAGAGAGAGAGAGAGAGAGCGAGAGAGAGAGAGAGAGCGGAAAGAGAGTACTGGTACACAATAGTTTCTGCACAGTGGTTACTTTAGAAACTAAGTTTCACTTTTCTTATCTCAACTGCTAACACCTCCATTGTTTGCACTAATAGGGATGTCACGTCAACTGAATCAGAGTCAACTGAACCACAGTCAACTGAACCAGAGTCAACTGAACCAGAGTCAACAACAACACACAGGTGCAAGTCTCCCCATTTCCCCTCGAGTCTCCCCTAATTCCCCCTACAGTCTCCCCCATTCCCCCCCTCCAGTTTCCCCATTCCCCCTCCAGTCTCCCCCCTCCCCCTCAAGTCTTATCCATTCCCTCTCCAGTCTCCCCCATTCCCTCTCCAGTTTCCCCATACCCCCTCCAGTCTCCCCCCTCCCCCTCAAGTCTTATCCATTCCCTCTCCAGTCTCCCCCATACCCTCTCCAGTCTCCACCTCTCTCCCTCTCCTCCACTCATCTGAGGACGGAATGCTCCATGTCCCTTCCTGTTAGACAGCCCACTGCTAACAGCTCTATTCATTAGATAGGATGAGGGTTAGAGACCGCCAGGAAGTGAAGAATCATGGGAAATCAAACTAAATGAGTGGGGCAAACGAAGCTAATTCATTCCCTCTTTGTAATGAATAAAACATGGGATGTGTGTTAGGCGTTGCTAATACAGTGGACACACCACATTACACAGTGCTGGGCCCTGCTGGTGACTTAGAGTCTGTCTGTGTGATCAGATCCAGGTGTTATTGTATATTTTCATAATGACTATATGTGCACATCTTATGTATACCAGAATATTAGAGGTACACAAGTTGTTTTGAAGTACACGACCAGTCAAAAGTTTGGACACACCTACTCATTCAAGGGTTTTTCTTTATCTTTACTATTTTTTACATTGTAGAATAATAGTGAAGACATCAAAATTATGAATTAACACATATGGAATCATGTAGTAACCAAAAAAAGTGTTAAACAAATCAAAGTATATTTTATATTTGAGAATCTTCAAATAGCCACCCATTGCCTTGATGACAGCTTTGCACACTCTTGGCATTCTCTCAACCAGCTTCACCTGGAATGCTTTTCCAACAGTCTTGAAGGAGTTCCCACATATGCTGAGCACTTCTTGGCTGCTTTTCTTTCACTCTGCGGTCTGACTCATCCCAAACCATCTCCATTGGGTTGAGGTCGGGGGATTGTGGAGGCCAGGTAATCTGATGCAGCACTCCATCACTCTCCTTCTTGGTAAAATAGCCTGTACACAGCCTGGAGGTGTGTTGGGTCATTGTCCTGTTGAAAAACAAATAATCGTCCCACTAAGCCCAAACCAGATGGGATGGCGTATCGCTGTAGAATGCTGTGGTAGCCATGTTGGTTAACTGTGCCTTGAATTCTAAATAAATCAGACAGTGTCACCAGCAAAGCACCCCCACACCATAACACCTCCTCCTCCATGCTTTACAGTGGGAAATACACATGCGGAGATCATCCGTTCACCCACACCGCATCTCACAAAGACACGGCGGTTGGAACCAAAAATCTCAAATTTTGACTCCAGACCAAAGGACCAATTTCCACTGGTCTAATGTATATTGCTCGTGTTTCTTGGCCCAAGCAGGTCTCTTCTTCTTATTGGTGTCCTTTAGTAGTGGTTTCTTTGCAGCAATTCGACCATGAAGGCCTGATTCACACAGTCCCCTCTGAACAGTTGATGTTGAGATGTGTCTGTTACTTAAACTCTGTGAAGCATTTATTTGGGCTGCAATTTCTGAGGGTGGCAACTCTAATTAACTTATCCTCTGCAGCAGAGTTAACTCTGGGTCTTCCATTCCTGTGGAGGTCCTCATGAGAGCCAGTTTCATCATAGCGCTTGATGGTTTTTGCGACTGCACTTGAAGAAACGTTCAATGTTCTTGAAATGTTACGGATTGACTGACCTTCATGTTTTAAAGTAATAATGGACTGTCGTTTCTCTTTGCTTATTTGAGCTATTCTTGCCATAATATGGACTTGGTCTTTTACCAAATAGGGCTATCTTCTGTATACCCCCATACCTTGTCACAACAAAACTGATTGGCTCAAATGCATTCAGAAGGAAAGAAATTCCACAAATTAACTTTTAAGAAGGCACACCTGTTAATTGAAATGCATTCCAGGTGACTACCTCATGAAGCTGTTTGAGAGAATGCCAAGAATGTGCAAAGCTGTCATCAAGGCAAAGGGTGGCTATTTGAAGAATCTCAAATATAAAATATATTTTGATTTGTTTAACACTTTTTTGGTTACTACATGATTCCATTTGTGTTTTTTCATAGTTTTGATGTCTTCACTATTATTCTACAATGTACAAAATAGTAAAAATAAAGAAAAACCCTGGAATGAGTAGGTATGTCCAAACTTTTGACTGGTACTGTAGGTCACTCTAATTATATGCACGACCACGGTGCGTCCCACGCATAATGGTAAAGTGGGTGGGTGTTTGAGTTTTTAATGTAATCTTCCCTTACTGCTGTCTAGGTTCAAACCCGGCCTGATTGTACATATTAATTTAATTATTGATGTACCTACCTCACTGATTATTTAATATGCATAAAGTGTTGCTTTTTGTACAGCCATGTGTTGTATAGCATACAAACCCACGAATTACTATGTGGGGTGAAATGTGGATATATTTGGGGATGGGATCACGCAGTCTGCTTGACCTGACGAAGATCCGTGTTGGATCGAAACGTTGTCATTAAAGGTAGTAATTGGGGGAAAATTCAGTGTGAGGGACTTTCTGTTCATTTCAATTATACTTCCTTAGCCCAGCACCTAGGTGTTTTAAGGATGTGCGTATGACATCCTTGAAATGTTACGGATTGACTGACCTTCATGTTTTAAAGTAATAATGGACTGTCGTTTCTCTTTGCTTATTTGAGCTATTCTTGCCATAATATGGACTTGGTCTTTTACCAAATAGGGCTATCTTCTGTATACCCCCATACCTTGTCACAACAAAACTGATTGGCTCAAATGCATTCAGAAGGAAAGAAATTCCACAAATTAACTTTTAAGAAGGCACACCTGTTAATTGAAATGCATTCCAGGTGACTACCTCATGAAGCTGTTTGAGAGAATGCCAAGAATGTGCAAAGCTGTCATCAAGGCAAAGGGTGGCTATTTGAAGAATCTCAAATATAAAATATATTTTGATTTGTTTAACACTTTTTTGGTTACTACATGATTCCATTTGTGTTTTTTCATAGTTTTGATGTCTTCACTATTATTCTACAATGTACAAAATAGTAAAAATAAAGAAAAACCCTGGAATGAGTAGGTATGTCCAAACTTTTGACTGGTACTGTAGGTCACTCTAATTATATGCACGGCTACGGTGCGTCCCACGCATAATGGTAAAGTGGGTGGGTGTTTGAGTTTTTAATGTAATCTTCCCTTACTGCTGTCTAGGTTCAAACCCGGCCTGATTGTACATATTAATTTAATTATTGATGTACCTACCTCACTGATTATTTAATATGCATAAAGTGTTGCTTTTTGTAAAGCCATGTGTTGTATAGCATACAAACCCACGAATGACTATGTGGGGTGAAATGTGGATATATTTGGGGATGGGATCACGCAGTCTGCTTGACCTGACGAAGATCCGTGTTGGATCGAAACGTTGTCATTAAAGGTAGTAATTGGGGGAAAATTCAGTGTGAGGGACTTTCTGTTCATTTCAATTATACTTCCTTAGCCCAGCACCTAGGTGTTTTAAGGATGTGCGTATGACCACAAACTGTTTTACACAGCTAAGTGCTAACAGTTCTGTTCATTACATAGAATGAGGTTTAGAGACCGCCAGGAAGTGAAGAATCATGGGAAATCAAACTAAATGAGTGGGGCAAATGAAGCTAATGCATTCTCCCTTCATAATGAATAAAACATGAGATGTCTGTGTGTGTGTGTTAGGCGTTGCTAATAGACTGGACACACCACATTACACAGTGCTGGCCTCTGCTGGTGACTGTTAGAGTGTCTGTCTGTGTGATCGGCTCCACCAGATGCTGCTGATGGCATGTGGAGACAGACCAGAGTGGGTTCTCAACTACTGTTGGGGAATTAGGCTAATATAGCTGGAAAACCACCTTAAATGCATGCGACATCTCCTCTGTGAAAGATAGCATAATTTATCTACTCTAAATAAGGTGCCATGCATATCTCAATTGAGTTTTGAGGGTGGACACCATAGACTTATTGAGGTATGAATCAGTCTCTGATTGTAGGGTAAGTCGCTCTGGATAAGAGTGTCTGCTAAATGACGTAAATGTAAATGTAAATGTAGGGTAAGGACAAAAAACAGCATTACACTGCATCCCTCTAGCGTTTACACTGCATCCCCCCAGCAAAAGATAGGAGTTGTACACCCCTCGTTACACATCAGTGCAGTCTTTCTTACATCAATGTCCCCCTGAGTGAAGGTCTCAGGGTCCTCTCCCATCATGTTGGCTAGATGTCTCTTCCCGATGTTGAACTCCTCCACCTGCTTCTTGATGAACTCCTCTGAGAACTTCTCTGGGCCTGCTGCAGCCAGGTTCTTCCTGTGGAGCACAGAGCTCACACATAGCTGTCTGGACAGCACCTGGGGTGGGGGAGAGAGGAGGTTCTTATGTTAGGATACATACTGTAGTATAGAACTGGTGCTTTTATAACCCTGGGCCTTGGTTTTGACAGGGATAGATTAATGTCAGTTATCTTGGCTAATAGACAATCTCTGCAGGTGGCTCTGGTATTTTAGGTGCATTAAATTAGTCTGAAAGGGTGCGATTTGGCATTGACAAATAGACCAACTGATGTGCATTTGACAGCAAGGTATCCACTAGTACATGGGACTCACATTGGGCTAACATAGTATAGCTAGCGAGCTAGCTATATAAACAAGTTCTGGAGGCTTAGCTAACTAACGTTCTACTAAACCAAAATATTGCGACTTGTATGACCACTATGTTCATGTAGCTAGCTATGTCCATTATGGCATGCATGTTGAGACAAGAAGAACAATATCTAGAACGTCAACTAGCTGACTGTCTAACTTCAATGACAGTTTACATGTGAGCCAGCTGACAAGGCAGTGCATTGCTGCTAGCGCTTAGCTAATTCAAGGACGACTCAGCCCTTCTCTGCAGTGCAACTCGTGCAGCCCCGTTGTCATTAACGTGAAAAAGTGAAAACATGCCGAATGAAACTCTTGGCTTTACCTGACGTGTTAAATTTGACGAGACTGTGTTAAAATTGTAGCAGCAATTGCCGCATTTCCAGAGAAAAGATCCCACGGTTCTCCCATTGGAGGCCGCCATGTTTGCTGAACGACGCTCTCGTGAAAACAGGAAGTACGTCGATAGCAAATGTATTTGCGTTTGTGTTACAATGTAACTGTTACAATGTCACTACATTTCATTTCTGACAGTATATCTGTCCAGATTCGGATACAAAGTATTTGATTATACAAAACAATAACCATATTTGATAAATCCATAGAATAACTGTAAAAAATGTATAGGTTGTTCAGTCCCTTTGTTGTATTCTACAATTAGTTGAAAGGATAGGTATTATACCAAATATGTGATTTTATTATTATTCATAATTAAGCAATATGCGGGAAGGAATCATAATTTTGGTCAACGTTTCCTGTGGGACCCTAATTAGTAGGGAACATTTAAAATGGTATGAAATCACCCAACCCTACTACATCTGTTCAGATGAGCCACAACAATTAATCCAAGCTGAAAGCTATAGTAAAGAGCAGACACTCTGAGCTATCTAACCACATAGACTGTAGAACGATTTGTTGACATGGTGAGGGATTTTTTTGTTGTTAAATAGCATACAGCTCTACAACTATAAAACTGTACAACTATAAAACTATGCAAACCACCATACAACTTTACAACCATACAACTAAACAACTATAAAACTATACAAACAACTGTACAACTATACAGAAGTATACTATAATACAAATCTTCACTATGCTTTAGCTGTAACAGAAGTGTTGGACACTTGCACACTCCCCGTCATTGATTTAAAACCATATATGATTGTTGTAGGCATTGGCTGGAGAGAGTTTCCACCATTGGTAGTTTCCAAATGTTAAAATACTGAACTTTTCCTTTAAGAAACTCTTCCACTGCAGTATCCTGGTATTGTGTAAGTTCCTCCGAAATGGGAAGGAAGTAAACAGAGTAAAACACGATTTGTTGCACAGGATCTATTATGAGACCACAGAATATAATATCATCTTCAATACGGAGATGAGTACATAAAGTAAATATTTCAGAAAGGAATCCACACGACAGGGCAGAGTGAGTGGATGGAGTAAGGGTTATAGAGTGTAAGTGAGAGTAGTAACGCCTGGACTGAGTAAGAGAACATTGACTTAATGTTATTTGTGTCAGTCTAACGTCTTCAAAGAGGAAGTGGATCAGTACAGACTCTGTTAAAAGGAGGTAGTGCTTCTGACATTGTTTTTCTTTAAATTGACTTTTTATCTAACAAGTTTATTAGCTCTATATGAAGTGTTTGTGTAGTTAATTAACTTGTACTTGGCAGAGAGGAAGGGTTTATGGATGGACATGATGAGGAAATGGGTTGTGAACTGTGAGTATATTTGGGTATGTGTACACTTTAATTCTGTTTGATGTACATCATATTCCCCAACATTCTTCTCTCTGTTAGAACATGTTTAGGCTTACAGTGGTGATACAATGTTGGGGACCAACTGGTTCCTACAGGGAGGAGGTGGATCAGTGAAGCACTTTGTACCTCGACTCTCCCTTCAGTTCACCAGACAGCAGGATGGAGAGCAGAGCTCAACACAGAGGGGAGAAATCGATTACTACTGATCACTACTGTAAGTTGCTGGGTCGTGTGTGTAATATGATAGTGATATATTCAAAGTGTTGTTTTTCACTTAGCCAGGAATGCCAGTTATAGACACTTTATAGCTTGAGTCGCAACAAAATACCAATCCTGGTCCTGGAAAGCTAGGTGTGCAGGCTTTAGTTCCAGCCCAGTACTAATACACCTGACCAGCTACAACAGTGAGACTGTAATGTTTTTCCCCAGTAGAGAGCTTGGCTTGGATGCATTCGACTTTTAAGAATGCTACGTGACTACCATGGCAGATGAGTCATGTGTATCTAAAGTCTATTACAGATCATTTCCTCATGTCTTATCCTCAGTGATCCAAAATGGCTCCTGTTCCTGAGCTACTGCTGGCCACTCTGGAGGACCTGCTCGAAGCAGATCTGAGGATGTTTAAATGGCGCCTGACCAAGGACGTGCTGGAAGGCTTTCCTCACATCCCAGTGAGCCAACTGGAGAATGCTGACAGACTGGACACTATAAAGAAGATGGTGGAGACCTACGGTCCTGAGGGAGCTGTGAAGATCTCACTGAAAATCCTGAGGAAGATGAAGCAGAACCAACTGGCTGAAACGTTAAAGAACGAGTACAATGAGGGTGAGACAACAGAACCAGCAGGTTAGACAATTATACAACGTTTAAGATTATTGTTATTTTTGCATAACAAGGAGTGATACATGGCAAGCTGCAGAAAATCCCAGACAAAGTTGATGTACTAAAATAGCTTTCTGTTTCTATCTCCCTCTCTTTCTCTCTCTTTCTCTCGCTCTCTCGCTCTCTCTTTCGCTTTCTCTCTCTCGCTGTCTGTCTGTCTCTCTCGTTCTCTCCCTCTCAGCCCAGAGTGCTCCAGTGGTTTTAGAAGTCAGAGGTAAGCCGTATGAATCAACGCAACAGCACCCAGCGGGCAGAATTTGAATCGTGCATATGCCGCGTTCACATAGTATCGGAGTTATCGGAAATTCCTAGTTCCGACTGGGAAGTTTCACTTGGACGACCCTCCCAGTCGGTATTACAAGTGGGAAACTCAGAGAAAAGGTTGTTGCTTGAGTTGCCGGGTTGTGACGTTTCACCACTGACCTTTGACCTTTTCAGACAAAAGATGACAACAAATCTGTTTTTGACAATTACAACCTTATCAAATGGAGAATGTTTGACCATATTGTCAATGTTAAACCTCTTAAGGATCGTACCCTTTTTTTCAATTTTTTGCCTAAAATGACATACCCAAATCTAACTGCCTGTAGCTGAGGACCTGAAGCAAGGATATGCATATTCTTGGTACCATTTGAAAGGAAACATTTAGAAGTTTGTGGAAATGAGAAATTAATGTAGGAGAATATAACACGTTAGATATTTTGTTTTGCATCATCTTTGAAATGCAAGAGAAATTGCATGTCTCCTGAGTGGCGCAGTGGTCTAAGGCGCCGCATCGCAGTGCTAACTGTGCCACTAGAGATCCTGGTTCGAATCCAGGCTCTTTTGCAGCCGGCCGCGACCGGGAGACTCATGGGCGGCGCACAATTGGCCCAGCGTCGTCCAGGGTAGGGGAGGGAATGGCCGGCAGGGATGTAGCTCAGTTGATAGAGCATGGCGTTTGCAACGCCAGGGTTGTGGGTTCGATTCCCACGGGGGGCCAGTATAAAAAAATAAAAATAATTTTTTTTATTCACTAACTGTAAGTCGCTCTGGATAAGAGCGTCTGCTAAATGACTAAAATGTAAATGTAAATGCCAGACAGTGATGTAGGAATCTAGATGTCATTTAGATTTTGTCCAGAAGATGGCAGCATTGTGTGTGCAAAGTTTCAGACTGATCCAGTGAAGAATTACATTACTACACAATACTTTGTATCAAGTCTGCCAGGAATTTTCCCAAATTTCCCGAATTGGTGACAGCAGGGGGTCAAACTGTAGAACCCAGTTCGTACATTTGAATATAAAAATTGATTTTATCAAACAAAACTATGCTACATTTTCTCTCTGGGATCCTCAGGATGACAAATCAGAGCAAGATTACTGAATGTAAGTACATTATTTACCTTCAGAGGTGAATGTATCAAACCAGTTGCCATGACAAAAGTGTTTTGTTGTTGTGCACTATCCTCAAACAATAGCATGTTTTTTGTTGTTGTTGTTGCTGTAATAGTGACTGTAAATTAGACACTGCAGTTAGATGAACAAGAATTTAAGCTTTCTGCCCATATAAGACATGTCTATGTCCTGGAAAGTTGGCGTTGTTTACAAATCGCATATTGAGTAGCAACCGTCCCGATATAGGGACACCGATCCCGTTAGAGGTTAAGCAAGCTTACTAACTTTATTATTAGCAATGTTAGCTAGCTTATCAAGCTAGCTAAAATCGTATTGGTTGAAGAATTGTTCCGACCAAAAAGTACATGAATGAAACAGTCGTATTTCCGACATCACAACTAGGGAAAGGAAGTTCCGACGAGCAGGTGAACGCGGTAATAGCAGTAGGATAATGTTTTGAGTTGGAGGTGCTGACCGAGGGGTGGGGGGAGCTTTAATAAATGCAATTCATGCAATTCTACATCGTTTTACATGACTATACATGAAATCACAGGCTACACTCTGACACTGACAAACTGAGATCAATAACAATGGCCTTTTCTTGATTGCGACCAATAGCCACATTTAGAAAAAGAAGCTATTGCTCCTTGGTGGCTAGATTATGCTCTCTCGTGTAGCCTAGTATTTTGTTGATTTATTTCTGTACAGGCATAATTATATACATTTGCCAAATGTATTTAAATGTATTAGCTGCAGCACCTCCAGCACCCCTAATTCCCATGGCTATGGACAGGTGACGTCATTATGGTGTCATATTCTGGTAGTAAACTGGTTCTGGTTGAGAAGGCCAGAGAAGATACAGTGCTTTCGGAAAGTATTCAGACCCCTTGACCTTGTCCACATTTTGTTACGCTACAGCCTTATTCTAAATAGGATTAAATAGTTTTTCCCCCTCATCGATTTACACACAACACCCCGTAATGATAAAGCAAAAACAGGTTTTTAGAACTGTTTGCAAATGTATTAAAAATAAAAAGCTGATATCACATTTACATACACTACCAGTCAAAAGTTTGGACACACCTACTCATTCAAGGGTTTTTCTTTATTTTTACTATTTTGTACATTGTAGAATAATAGTGAAGACATCATAATTATGATTATATTATATTTTATATTTGAGATTCTTTAAATAGCCACCCTTTGCCTTTATGACAGCTTTGCACACTCTTGGCATTCTCTCAAACAGCTTCATGAGGTAGTCACCTGGAATGTATTTCAATTAACAGGTGTGCCTTCTTAAAAGTTAATTTGTTGAATTGCTTTCCTTCCTAATGCGTTTGAGCCAATCAGTTGTGTTGTGACAAGGTAGGGGGGGTATACAGAAGATAGCCCTATTTGGTAAAAGACCAAGTCCATATTA